AATGCTCTGTCGGGCCGGGGTGCGGGGGGTCCTTGGGATTGGGGATTCAGCCTTTTGGCTGTTTGGGAGAAGGATTGTGGCATGCTATGAGAATCGATAATGATCTTTTTTTTTTGTCCATTTGATTTTGGTATCTGTTGCTTAAGACGTTCTTACTTTTGTAATGTCTAAGATTCTAACAAAGGTTACTCTGGTTGGACAACAGGTTCCATCAATATCAGCAATATATTGACGGGCAAGTGCCTCGCAAAAATAAAAGCAACTAAACCCGATACCCCAAGTGATTGCAGTTGTAGTCCCAGTTGTCGTGGCCAAAGTTGTAATAAATCTAATAGAGTCCAAGCGTCTAGAATCAGGAGCACCGTTGCAGAAGCACTGGAAGATATCACTGCCCTCTACTATGATGAAGACCGCAATGAAATCTATACCGGAAACAGGCTTGGACTCGTTCACGTGTGGTCTAACTGAAGGTTGTTTCTACTTTCTTTTCTACCCCTCGGTTCCCCCTATAAACCTTACACGATACCGCTCTGTTTGATAGGCGAATTCCAGCTGCTGACTTAATGCAGAAGGAACTGTACCATTAGACACTAAAGTAGCCCCCGATCTCTCTTTTTTTCACGTGTAGCTTTCTTCCCCTATAAGCTGCAATTTTGGGGCGAGGGAGGGGAGACAACCTTTTCTTCCATGTCATCTTAGTACATGCTTGCTAATTATATGGTTTCTTTTGGGGGAATGCCCTTTTCAATAAGACAATACTAAATAGATGATTTCTTATGATGTAGATGTGTTCTTCCTAGTTCCTACTATGTTGTAGATGATGGATTGATTGTATTGTACATCTAAATGATACCATTTCACCATTTGTATGTGATATTTTGCCCATTGAGGTTTCACTGGTCTTTTTGTAACTTGCTTTTACATTATGGCCGTGTTTGGTAAAATAGTTAGCTTATAGGTCAATTTTAGCTTATTTGACCACTATTAGTTGTTTTTTTGGTTAAAAAATTAATATAAGTGTTTGGTTAATTAGTTTTTTGTAACTCTACATGCTAAAATTCAAAAAGCTGCTCAAAGCAACTTTTTTAATTAACTTTTTGAGAAAAGAAATTATACCAAACAACTATCAGCTAACAGTTAATTTATCAAACATTTTTCTACAATCAGTTAATGTTATTAACTAGTTATACCTTCTAATTAACCAAATCATCTAACAGCCAACAGTCATTTACCAAACATGGCCTATTTCTTCCAGTTTTGTAAGATGGGTGTCACTGTCAAAGCAATGTGTAAAGTGAGAGTGTTTAAAGCTTGCAAGAACATCAATGGTGGTGGATCCATGGATGGTTTGGTTTTCTACTTGGGGACCCAATAGTGGAAAATGATAGTAAGCAGGATAAAGGAAAGCCTTTGAATGGGCCAGCATATGATAGTGTTTGTGGTGGGTTTCATTTACTATGCTTATGAAAACCAACTTTAGGACAATTGTCTGGCCTAATTGAAATTCAGTGAACATTACTATAGGTATTATATTATGATACTACCTCTTCATCCTTTGTAATATTATAGTTATACTAGAACTCTGTATATTTTATATATATTTTACCGAAGAATGATTAATAATCGATTGATATTTTTACCGATGTTATATATGTTCATGTGAGGATTCATCAAATTTCACAACATTTACAACTTTTATGAGTAAAATCTATATAGTGGGGGTGGGGGGTTCCAATTTTAATGTTGCTTCAAGAATTGCCAAATTGCCATGTATGGGAGCCTTCTAGGGAAAGAAGTTGATTTTTTTGGGATGGGACCAAAGTGACATGATGGGCAAAATGGACCACCAAGGACTTGGAATATCTTTCTATCTAGGCTATGACAATGAAGATTAATAGTCATGTTGTTTTTAATCTCTATACCAATAAGACATTATAATAAATAATACTCCGTACTAGGTATTGTCATCATTTTCTCGCGATACATAGTAGACATGGGCGAGTGGGTAAAACATTATTCTTATATACTAGAAAGTCACAAATTCACATCCTCTTGGTTAAATCCGTTATATAATTTTTTTAGTGCGATTTATCTCCTCTGCCTTGAGATTTTGCGGAGTTTACCCAATGCATCCCTTCCCCTATTAGAATGATTGTGAGATTTTACTTGGTGGATATAAAAAAAAAAAAAACATGTTGCTCAACAGTCTTGATCATCATAAATTATTATCCAGTGATTACAAAAATTTGATACACATATAAATATATAATATATGTACCTCCAATTGCCACTTTGAAGCACTTCAATGGCCTCATTGTGTTATATTTTCAAACTCCACTAATAATCATATTTTATATTTTAAACTATAAAGTTATGTGGTGCGACAAAAGTGTAACACACATGTGTAAGGTTGTATCAACACTCAAATTTGAAAATTTATGGGACTTTCCTCTTGGTGGAAATTGGACTAGTCTACAAGTTGAAGATGTAATGATTTGAATAATACTCCGTAATAATAATGTCATTATCAAACTTCAATGCAGAGCAACGTGGAACTTTACCCCCTCCCCTCCCCCTCCCACTCCCACTTTAATAATCACACCTATCACCATCACTCTATATATATATAACGGATTTAATTTTTGTTAATAAATTTCCAGTTAAGATCATCACACATAATATGCTTAATGTAATTTATCTCTTATATAATTTATTGGCTATTATACATGAACAAAGTTTACTTAATGCACAATTCGTCAATTTGAGAGATCAAGCTCTGACTTGAAGGTCTGATCTAGGGAAGATTTAGTCCATCATGTTTACAAATGGACATTATTGCATCTGGAATATTAAAAAATAATCTACCTTATACAAATAGCTTGTAAAATATAACGAAGGAAAATTGATAACTCAAACACGTTATACTAATAACCACCTTTGGGCAATTCTTAAGGGAGTTGAATGGGCTTAGAATAAGGGTCTCGGGAAAGTGATTGTGCAAAGTGACTTGAGGAAGGTTATTGAATATATTGAAGGGGGGATTTTCCCTAGAGGTCCTCTACGAAACCGTATTGAAAGTTGTAAAAGTTGGAAGCGAGAACACTGGGAGATTTCTTTCCAAACACATCTATCAAACACATCTATCGAGAATAGAACATAGTGGTTGATATTCTTACAAAACAAACACGTATCTCCAATTGAAGCATGTGCTCCATCTCAACTAAAAGCACACGTGGCGTTGAGATTCAAACCCATGACGTTTAGTCTGGCTCTGATATCAAATTGAAGCATGTGCTCAATCTCAACTAAAAGCCTAAGCTAATAGTTGGATTGCACATTAATGGTTATATGCTCACATCTCCAACACTACGTGGGTGGAGTGGGAGGAGCCCTTCTAGCATCAAGGATGCGTTGTTGGTTGATTTGAGTGCTTTACCGTATGTGAAGACTATCACGGAAGGGTGTCAGTTGTAAAGCACTGAGCTTGGCCCTCCCTTGGATAAAAAAAAAATATTTTGATATTAATTCACATTAATGATATCAATCATATTTTTACATACGCTATTATAGCATTTTTATCATTTTATGTCAACCCATATGTATTGCTATGAAGAACAAAAGGTTATTTTATTTTATTTTATTTTTAAGGAGCCTTCGTGGGCGAAATCGGTACAAGCGTAACATCACAATCTGTGCAGCGTTGGCAGCACGTGAGTTCGGAAATGTATACCCTTTATTTATCTCTTTTCCAAGTCTGTCCCCCTAAATTGTTCATTTTCTCATTTATTAGTCCTTTGGTGCTAAAAAATAATAAAAATAAAAATTCAAGTTCACAAATACATAAAAGTATTATATAAGTGACCAAAGTGCAACAATTGATAAAACTAAATGTATAAATTTTGGCTAAATTCTTCCCAAACTATCAAGTATCCGTCTCAAATTAAACAGTTTTCCTTTATATTATAAAAAAATTGAAAAAAAAAAGCTTTCTTTTTTCAACACAAAATATACATTTGACTCATCATATCTATCTCTTACAAAGTATTCATTGATGTAGCACACAATAATAATTGGATGTAGCTAAAAGATAGTTTAATCAATCGTAACGTATAATGTCACAAGTATGATGGATTGTGGGCATTGCATTTTTTTTCACACGAGTAGCTTAGTTGGTTTGTCTTAACAATTACAGTGCGAGAGTTTCACTCAATATAATGGGTAAATGAGTTCTTTGTGGGCAATATACTATTATACAATAGCTCTCTTACCTAATTGGCTGATAATTTATCCTTCTACTATCCTATCGGGTTAGAATGTGGGGCTCTAGGTTTAAAGAATTTCACCTTTTGTAACAAGGGTATTACATTGTTATTGTTGTTGTTGTTATTATTATTATTATTATTATTATTATTATTATTATTATTATTGCAATGAAGTTGATGAAATAGTAGGTAAATCAATTTAGGTTATTAATTAACTTTTATGGGTGTTTCTAATGCAAGTTTTTAGTAATGGCTAGAAGTGGTTAAGTGGTATCAAGTAGTGGGTGAGTTGATGGTTAATACTTATTATAGTGGGGGGTTGTAGTGGAAAAGTGGTTGCCATTTGCCCATTTCTTTGGGATTCACTTTTTTACCATTAGGCCATGAAAAAAAAAAAAGGACTAATTCTTGAATCAAGAAATGGCAAAGATTGCAACTTTAATCTGTTTTTGAAACATGATGAAGAAGTTAGTTCAGGGGTAGTTCCATGATTTCCTGAAATGTCAAGGACTAAACTGAAAGAAGCAAAAAAGGAGCAGCAGCACAGTAATGGGGGACAAGGACCACAGAATAATTAAATTAAAATAAGAACAGATTTGAATTCAGTAACGTATAGAAGAGAAAGAATAAACTATAAAAAGATGGAAAACGTGACATCACGCGCCCGGGGAGATCGGTGCAATAATTACATTATTACTCACATCATGTGTGGTGAGTTTAGCGGCCTTTCATGTCTTATGTTGTCATTAATAAAAGCTGGGCTGTACTCTCTCTCTATCTCTCTCTCTCTCATTCTGTCTCTGTGCAGTGTTTTATCTTCTACTTCACTCTCAAACGCCAAAGCCCAAGGCATTTTCTTTCTTCTCCTGCTTGTTCTCTCCGCAGCCCATTGCCATCTTCTTTCTTAAAAAACAATAAGACAGGTTGAAATAAACAGAGAAAAAGAGAAAAAGGCTGCAACTTTTTCATTCTTGCCCCAAATCCCATTTTAGATCTTCACCAAAGCTTCCATCTTTGAGCTCTGTTCAGCTTCATTCCCAGTAAGCTTCTCTTTCACTTGCATTTTCTTGCACTGTCCATACATGTATGTGGATGAATCTGTGTGTGTATTAGATGGGGGAGCTGATTCTGGGCAGTCAATGGGGTGCTTGGAAATGGTGGAATCAGGCAATGGGTGTTGATAGTTCAAGAAAACTGTGCCATCTGTGTCGGTGGGCTGAAGGTTTTTGTGGCAAAGATTGGGGTTTTTCTTAGTCTAGATCTGATCTTGAGTGTAGTTTGGTCTGTTTTGATTGTTTCTTATGTCTGCTGAATTTTGATTGTTGCTTCTCTGGTTTGATTTGACTATGGCTGATTATAATGAGCTGTGCAAGTTAATGTGTTTTGGTTGGTTGTATAGCAGCAATCTTTACTCTTTAGCAATCTTTAAGGTCAGATTGGGTGTACCTATCTATCTTTGCTTGTGCAATGGTATTATTATTTGATGTCTCCAATGTTGGGGGCTAAGGTTGTTGATAACAAGTGTGTTTGTTTGTGCCAGCCAGGCTCTGTTGAACCAGATGGAATGAAATTTGGGCTGGTGCTGAAGGCTTAGAATTTCAAGGTTGGCATTGTAATTCAGTCTGGGATGATGACAAGAACGCGTTTTGTTAACATTAATTTGTGTTGTTTTTGTTCATCAGGCTCGAGTTTTCTTGAGATTCAAGGATGGCGGGTGGGATCCATACTGATGTTTCGTTGGATTATGTTGAATTCCAGATTTATCCAAGCCAGAACAGGTAATCTTGCCTTGTTATTTGAAGGGGGCTTAGTTTCGAAGCAGTGTAATTGGCTGCAAATGTTGCAGAAATCTTCTTTTTTTCAGATGATTGATGGTCTAAACCAAACCTGTTTGAGATGTTTAATGCAATGTTCAATTAGTTTAAGGTTACGGTGTTAGATGGTTCTTAGTACAGGCTATGAAAACTTGACTGTCTTGTTTTATAGGTACGAGGCTTGCATATGTTGGGACAACGAGGTAGAGGCGGTGGCTTCTGGGGTTCTCGAGCAACTGGCACAGCATTCTTCGAAAGTTAAAGCTTTGAGCTCGAAAGGGCGGGATGCTTCTTTTAAACTCGAACCCCCGGATAATGTTAGCAATGCTAAATGGTTTTCGAAATCCACTTTAATTAGGTATGGTCTGCAAGGACTTCTTCGTTTCGTTGTAATGCTGTTGTCTGTGATTAACTTCTTGTTTGTCAGGTTTCTTAATATTATTAATTCGGGGGATATATTGGATAAAGCAAATGCGGTGGAGAAAGAGATATCTCAGCTGGAGGAAGCCCGGGGATTTCACCTTTCTTTATATGCAAAGGTGATCGATTGATCCCTTATTATCGAACTAATCTGTGTTTCAAACCAACGGGATTGCTAAAATTGACTGCTTTCGTCTTAAACAGGCTGATGATGATTCTGCTACATCGGATTCTTCCAAGTACGCTCTGGTTACTCTTTGGTTTTGAATTACGATTTGCCCTTGCCTAGTATCTTGAGTTATCTTTGTGGTGAACAGGAACGAATTGCTTCGAGCAATGGACTTGAGGCTCGGTGCGTTAAGAAGCGATCTCGCTGATGCTTTTGACCAAGCTGCTCCCGAGGAGATTGTTGAGATTGGAAAGTTCAGCAATCATTTTGGAGCTTTCGATTTGAGGTAAGATAATGGTTATAGAGATATACGTTATAGAGATAGATAAAACGTAGAGAACTAGATGAAAATGTGAGAGCGATTGGTTTGTGTATACCTATTTCAGGAACTCGCTACAAAAGATTGTAGAAAATTATTCGGGGAATGATAAACGTGGTTCAGAAGAGGATTCTCGGGTCTCGTCTAAGCCATTGCTGCTTTCAGAGCAACCCGTAAGATATGGTGCCTCTCCTGCTAAAGCTGCACAAATCGAGAGGCAGAGTTCATCAGAAGGCGAGGAATCGTCTTGCACGACCGAGGAGGATCAACCATCGGTAGAGCGAAGTCGGGCTCTAGCGCGATCTGCTTCACCGAGAAGGTCTGCCTCCCCGATGCGAAGAGTCCAAATTGGACGGAGCGGGTCTCGGAGACCCACCGCTTTAGCCATCAAGAGCTTACATTACATTCCTGCCCGAGTAGTGTGCCAGAAAGACGAAGGCGAAAGCAGTAGTGGTGGCGAGGAAGCATCTGAGAAAACGTCGAAAAATGTGCGTAGAATGAGCGTGCAAGATGCAATAAATCTTTTCGAGAGAAAACAGAGAGGAGATCAAACCTCGGATGTTCAGAAAACGGCAAGTGTAGTCTCCGCTGGTGCAAATAAAGCGGTTCTCAGGAGATGGAGTGCTGGAATGTACGAAAGCTCTAAAAATCCCGCAAATGCTGCTTCAATGACTACCGAGGAGAACTTAGAAGGCGAAGAGACTATGAGTGCTTTGGAGACGAATTTAGATTCTAATACCGTCGAGGCTGCTGAAATTGAACTCGAGCCCGAGCCCGAGCCTGTATGTGAAGAAAGAGTATCCGGTCTAGAAGGACAGCGGGATGATACTCTCCCTAACGAGACCGAAGAAAGCAGAAAGTTAACCGCCTCGGCTGAATGGAGTCGCCAAAAGGAAGCCGAACTAAACCAGCTGCTGATCAAAATGATGGAAACGAAACCCGCAAGGTATAGAAATGCAGCCCCGAGTGATAACCAAGACCAACGCTTTCCCGATCAACAGCGAGGCGGTTTGTACAATCATTACAAAGAGAAAAGGGACGAGAAGCTTAAAGGGGGCGAGACTGCTAGGAAGCGAGTAGGGGGGAAGGACACACAAATTAAAGCAAAACCCGATATGGCATCTGGAAAGGTAAACACTGTTAGTAAAAGACCTGCAGTTAAGAGAACCCAAACCCCGCTTAACCATTCCTCCGAGTCTGCAAATTCCAAAACCGAAACCCCTAAACCTGCTGCTGATGTGAAGAAAGCTTCAAAAAAGGCGGCATCTTTGCCCGCCATACGTAAGTCATGGCCAACAGCACCGTCACCGAGAGCTAACGGGGCATCACCCGCTAAAACACCTGTAACAACGGCTAGTTCTACAGCTACCCGGAGAAGATCACATCCAACTCCAACACCATTAGTTCCTCAATCAACCCCGAAAGTCGAGAGATCCCAATTGCCAGCAAAGCCTGCGAAAACATTACCAAATGAAGCTAAAAAGAGCGTAAGAAACTCCGCTGAAAGGAATCAGCAAGCGGTGACAAAAGCTAGTAGCAAACCTACAAAAACCAAAGCTCAGGCTCCTCGAGTAAGTTCTGATTCCTCTGCAAAACCGAAACTAAACAAGGTAACCAAGAAAAGCAGTGTGGTTCCTCTCGAGCCAAAGGATACACCAAAGGAACCGAAGGAACCAAAGCCTTTTCTGCGTAAGGGCTCCAGGACTGGACCTGGTGTTGGTCCCGTCGCAAAAAAGAAAACTTCTCCACCTCCACCAGAACAATCGTTGAGGGACTCGGTTGATTTGGTTGAAGCAGAGAAGAATGAAAAAGATCCGATAATTCCCGAACCTTCCAATCAAAAGGGCGATGTACTTCTTGCAGACCCAAAAGTCGAGTTAGATCTAGCAAGTGAAACTCAGATAGGCAGCCCCGAGAAGTGTGAAGTAGACACAGAAAGTCCTAATCCGGTTGCTGCTCCAAAAAACGAAGACGATTTTTGCGAGAAGCAAGAGTGCGTTAATATAAAAAACGAGGTCGAAGAAGAAATCAACATATCCCCCGCAGCTTGGGTGGAAATAGAAGAGCACGACAACGAAAAGGCTCCAAACAATGATGGTGCTAGCCATATCGACTCTTCAGCTGATGTGCCCGTGAGAGCTGCCAGTCCACGAGTCCGCCATTCTCTTTCCCAAATGCTACTCGAGGAAAGCAGTGAACCCGATAGTATGGATTGGGGGAATGCCGAGAACCCTCCAACCATGGTCAATCAGAAAGATGCACCAAAAGGATTTAAGAGACTCCTTAAGTTTGCTCGAAAGAGCAAGACTGATGTAAATTCATCGGGTTTCTCGAGCCCTTCTGTCTTCTCAGAGGGAGAGGACGACACCGAGGAATCTAAAGGTAGTAAGAAGGGTTCCGACAATCTACTGAAGAAAGCCACACTTCATGCTTCGAACTATGGGCAGTATGGTCATGAACTTCCTGGTAATACTCGTATTCTAACTATCCCGTCTTAGTTCCAGTTCAGTTTTCATCGAATGCATATATAGATATACTCGACCATTATGATATTTTGCAGCCCAAGCAACTATCGGCCAATTAGTCGCTCAAAGCATATCTCAGAAATTGGAGGAGGGTCACGTTTCATCTTCAGTAACCACAACAAAAGGTTAGTTTTTTTTCGTTTTCACTCAAAATCTTTTATAGCTTGCGAACTTTTAATCATCTTTAATAGTATCCTCCATGCCTTTCATTTCAGCACCGAGATCATTTTTCTCTCTTTCAGCATTCAAGGGGAGCAAACAGACTGATTCTAAGCTCCGATAATATACTTTTCCATAAATGCAGTAACTTTTGCTCGGGCAATGTTCAGGAAAAATGTTTTTTTTTTTCTTGCATCCAAAGAGGGGGTGGAGTACATGCATATCCTGTTTATATGCACTTTATAGATCTGACTGTTTAACGCAAGATTCATTCCGGTATAATACAATATATCGCCATTTTATGTATCGATAGAAACTAAGGTATTTTTTGTAGGATCAGAACCCATGTTGAATCTGTAATTTTCATTACTCAGCCTGGCCTTTTGTTTATATCTTATATAATCATTTGCATGTATGCTTCCCATTTGAAGTTAGTAGTTGAGAACAATATTTTACTGAACTTTGCTTAGCTTGCTTACTTTATTGAGCCCAAGCTTGAGCTTGAAGCCTTGAATAGATGTTTATTGTTTATTAAGTATGCTTGTTTGTTAATTATTTTGTATAAATATGTATATTCCTTAGCCTGGGAAATATACAGAGTTCTTATGTTAACATGGTATCAGAGGCTGTTCGATCCACTTTGTGTTCACCTGGTTATGAGTATTGGTGGCGTTCAAACTTTCGTAAATCCGCTTGTTCGGTTCACTTTGGTGTCTTTAGAGCTTCTATTTTAGGGGAGGATTTGGTCCAATTTCGGTCTACGCAGCCTAGTCATCTACTTGACTCGAGTGCAAAGAATCTCACATTGATAAAATAAACCTTGGTGACATGCGAAAAAACAAACTTCTTTAACCTAAAAGAACTGACATTAAGCAAAAATTTGAAACTCAGACAAACTAGAAAATAAACAAATAGATCTTAGATTGGCTTGTTCTTTGATGCCCCAAATAAGCTAAAAACCTTGGTGAAACAATTCTAGTGCCCCAACAAGAACAAATAAAAGAATTAGTATTAAGATCATGCCAGGCAGCCAGCTTCTTGCTGGAGGCGTTGCAGATATGGAAATATAACGAGTGCATGGGATCCAAAATACCGTGAAAAGATTTCAGCAGTGCTCTTTGTAGTGCTGGCAGCATCGCGGTTGCCACGTTGCAGTTGGATGGATCCAAGTTTAATCAGTTCGTTCCCGATGACAATGTGATTGGGATCATACAGTTTTTCAAGAATCTGCAGTCAATATAAGAATTCTAACGAGAACAAAGTTGTGGTGGTACGTAATAAGCATGAATCTGGTGAATGCTAAACGTCTTGTTGAGTTAATACTTTGACAACAAGAAAGCGCCATAGAAGTTAACTGTCCCGAGATTGAAGAGAGATATGTACCTTGATTGACGCTTTACAATGATCCATTGCAGCTTGCGGTTCCCCAACCAAGCACATTGCCTGTGCTACATTGTCCTCCACCTGAAACTCGTAAAATCAGAATAGTTTCTTGTTTACTAAAATGTATACGGATTGTTAAGAGTCCCACATTGATAAAATATGAGAGAACATATGGTTCATAAGACCATGGATTAGACTTGCTAATTGGTTGGATTCAATCTTTTAGTGTCTGCATTATAGCCCAATTGAGTGACTCTAGCCCAATCCCAATCTTTGTTTATAACACGGATGAAAACAAATCAGCACCAATGGGAGTGTGTCAGCCATTCACCTCTGCAATTCTCTTGTTAAACGGATGCAGTGTTGATCTCAGAATATCGGAAGCCTTCAAAGCATTGGAAAGTACTTCAACCGGGACATCATTGGAAGCAATTGCGTCTTGCAACCTATTTACACGTCAGTGTTTAATGCATATCTATAGAGTCACAATAAATCAAGAGTGTGTTTATGTACTAATAAAGAAGCCCGATGTACCTCCCGATAGAACTCTCAGCTTTGCTAATCGTAGCACATGCAGCTTCTAGATCACGATACAAATTGCAATTCAAGCAATGCCCAGGTTTAAGATGATAATCGGCTTTATGAACTGCATAATGGGCCACATCACTGATTCTCTCGTTTTCGACCTTTTCAACCTTCACGGGTCAAGATTATTGACTTAGGAACGGATACGAGTTAGATACATAACAATAGCGATGGCAATATCAACAAGGCATTGAAAATAAGCGGGTGTAGACTTTTGCAGTATAAAAAAGACCTGCTTAGAGACATGCGGGAGTTTTTGTTTCACATAGCTAGCGAGAGTGCTGTCGGGGACTACACCAAGGCAGCCGGGTTTAGCACACCTGTACGCATTTATACAGAGGTCGGATAGATTTAGTTGCGAACAGCCTCTACATTGACAGCTAAACGAGTAGCGGTCTCTCAAGATCTGCTGGCGGTCTTTGTGGTCCCACTGCCCAACCTGCAAAGCAGAATATTCGGGAACACATTATAGTTATAAGAAACGAACTGAAGCAATGAAAACGTTGAAGGCATATCTACACAGCACCATTAAACATGGAACTTAGGACACATTGTATAGTACGTTTCTAGAAGTTTCATGAACACGCCAATTTCCTGTTCTCTTAATGCTTTTTTTTTTTTTTTAGGAATAAGGGTCAAATAGGTCATCGAACTGCACACAATAATGCAATTAGGCCACTGAATATAAAAAAAAACAACCCCAAATTTAAAATGACCAACGAGAGCTGATGTCTTAGGAATTAGGACCAGCGAACAATAACATATGAAAGATCAAGAGGTATTATCAATTGAAGCATGTGCTCCATCTCAACTAAAAGCCTAAGCTGATAGTTGGATTGCACAGTAATTAGTTATATGCTCACACGCCCCCTCACGTGTGAGGTGGGTTCCAAGCAACACGTGGACCGGTAAACCGTAGTCGCTTACGAGTGGGGCTAAGATTCGAACCCATGACCTTGGGTCTGGCTCTGATACCAAATTGAAGCATGTGCTCCATCTCAACTAAAAGCCTAAGCTAATAGTTGGATTGCACAGTAATAGTTATATGCTCACATTATCTACTAAAACGAGGTACCTGTGGACCATAAGAGAGCTCGAGTTCGGATCCCGCTGACACAGAATCTGTTGTGCGGACATAAAGGGTACGTGAAAGAAAGTAAGCATGAGCATTTGGCCTACAAGAATGGTTAAACATACTGCCAACCAAATAAATAGCTTGGCCCACCTTGACCTGCATAATAACATAACAATACAAAATTTTAAAGAAGTCCTTACGCAACTTGGAGATAGATAAGCAATACAAAACGCTCTTCAAGCATTGCCTTTGATAATTGCTAGGATTGTTAATTGCTTGAAGAACGAGATTCAATAAAAATTTGAAAACGAGACAAGATTGATCTATACCTGCTCTAAAGAACTGGTTAAAGCATTCACATGCTCGTCTAAGGATCCTTTTGTATCTAAAGATTTCATACGGACAATAGCCATTGAATTTACTCTGATTTGCGATAGAAGTATAACCAGCTGCAAGCAGGATATGAAATATAAGGAGATTGTGGATAACAGAAACTATATATATATGACAGATTTCATTTCAAAGCATTGGATATTTTGGTTTGATTTCATTCAACCTGTGAAATGATAACCCCAGTCACGGGGAGTTTAGGTGCATAAGAATTCTGAAGACAGTTCAACAGAATGATCGAGTAAATATGCATCTCCAGCTTAGTGTCGGGAGGGAGCTGCACAAAATTGTGGCAGAGATCCTACACGAGATACACAATTAGTTTCTTCCATAATATGAAACTGTAAATGAAAATTAAGCAAAAGAACTAGTGATGAACAGATACTGCATTGTAACAGAGTCATTAGTACTCACAAAAAAAAAAAAAAAAAAAAAAAGGACTAGTGCAAGTACCAAAACTGTGAGAAGGTTAGAGAAACCGCTAGAATCCTTTTGTTGCTCTATAAATTTCACGAGGACTCGACCAGCCAAAACTACTTCTGACGGCAATACTGCAGGCCAATGGACACCTTGACATTCATGTCTATGCTCGGCAATATCCTCAGTACGTGGACCAGAAACGCCAATTGAAACGCATTCTGAAATGTACTTTTCGAGTTCATCTGGTAGCTCATTATGACGGCTAACTTTCCTCGGAGTTTTACCAAACTCTTTTCCTCCCGATACTAATTGACATTGACTAGAGCAGTATAGTGGTATAGAGCACGATTCACAGGGCACGGCATGCATTGGTAGTTCATTGAAGCAGAAATGACAGTTGGTCTCCCGACAGTTCTTCAAGATGATCTACATAAAGCTTAGCATGATAAGAATCCAACGGCAACATCATATATGAAAATACCTTTGCAATTTAGTACAAAGTATACATATCTTTGACGGCCATTGTTCAGGTGAGTCCACCCCTCCCATGAGTCCATGTGGACAAATCTGGGCCATTGAATACTTGAGTTCAATGGCTTGGATTTCGCCAACTGTGCACTTCACTTGCACAGTTCGCGATGCACAATTGGAAAAATTTATGCCACTGATCTCAAGCATTCAATGACCCAGATCTGTCCACACGGAATCATAGGAAGGGGGTGGACTCATTTGATCATGAGTCTATCTTTGACATTCAGTTTTGAATTGAATAATTTGCAATAAATCATAATGTATCTAAGAGCAAAATGAGGGTAATCATCAATTTCCCGAATCATTGCAGATGAGAAGACATAAGAAAACCTGATTTTATTAAGACAACCTAGCAAAAGTACAGTGTTTGCCATCGCCAAAGAAAAGAATCTTGACCATATACCGCTGCATAAGGATCTTCTTTATGAACCAAGGAGCCTATTGGAATATCAGCACGCGATACCATTCCCCGTCCCTTAGTAGGTAAAGATACACACTGCATATTTGCTCGGTCTGGCTCATCTGTCACATAAGCTCTACATTATAAGAAACCAAGAAGAGGGGTCTGTTACAAATACTACAATAAATCCAATCAAAGAAAGTGCAATCACGACAAGTAACAGTAAATATAACAACTAGATGAACACCAAAAGTTCTCCAAAATATAACTAAATAAAGAAAATGCAGAATAAGAAGTGAAAAATTGCCTGTGCAATTGTGTACTGACGTAAGATATTTAAAAAAAAATAAGTGTTATTTTCCCAAGAGAAAAAGGAAGAATAATACTCCAATAAATTAGAAGTTCATGAACTAAAGTACTATACCTAACATAGTAACATCTGACTCATTCCTGTTGGACTTATACAATGAACTATGCTTCAGCTTATGTTGGTCCAAAATAATCCTGAGTTCATCTTCTATTTGTCTCTTTCCACTCAAAGACACTTCCATCTTTAGTGAGACCTTCAGATCTTGGATTGCATCCTCGAAATTTCCCAAAGAAGCATTAGCTTTACCTCTCCTGAACCATGCCTGCAGGGGAACATACTTTAGAATGGCAAATGTGTGTTGCATCAAGAAGCTCTAACAAAATAAAAGTCAAATACTACGAAAACAAAATGACAGATCTGCAAATGAAATAGTTGCAGTGGCATGCTGCGCTATTCAAATTTCAAACTATCTGGCAAGGAATGCTATTAGAGCTCGACTTATAGAAAGAAGTATTGTCTGAGAAGAAACATTTAGAACTGACTGGAGTACTTTCACATTAACTCGAGAAAGTCCAACTATATATTGATATTGGAAAAGAACAGGAAAGGATGAAGATCTTCAATTTTCTTCTGTCAACTGCAACTACTGAGCTTTGACAGCAAGTGATTATATGATAAATAAAACAATTACAATGCAAATAAAGGAACACAAAACCGCCTAAAAGTGCATGTGTACACACCTTAGCATAGGTTGAAAAAATTGCAAGAGCCCGATCACAATCTTGTAAACACTCTACAATTAGTCCCATTTTCTGGACACAATAGAAGCACATAGTGAACAAGCAAAGCAACTCACCATTATATAACGTTGTTAGTACAATTTGGGAACACAGTGATTGATTGGTTTTATTAGGCTTAGGAGGTGGATATAAGGAAGTAAACTAATGTGTTAGGAAGCAGCTCTTCATAGACATAAATTCGCTACAGAAAGAGGTTAAACTCACATAAAGAAGCTTGTTACTTCATAGTAAATTAAAAAAGAGAGAAAGAAATATCCAATTCTACAAAAGAGTTTTTTCAATGGGATAATACTCTAAATTCACAATCCTTGGAACCAAAAGAAAAATAGTCAACCTTATAAAGTTTGTGCAATAAACAGTAAGTACTAGTTCATGCAATTCGAATATGGAACTCCCGAATCTATACAAATTCAGAACTCACATGCAATGCAGATGCACGATTCACATAGAGCATAGCAGATAGGTTTTTCTCTGTGTCATTGCTGTTTGTTGGAGCAAGGCGTAATGCCTGTTAAACTCATAAAGTAAAAAATAAAACATGATTAGCTTCAGATATTAAAAGTGATCATCAAATTACAAAAAATAATAATAATAATAATAATACAGCCACAAAGCTTCTCTTCCTGTTACAGATCAAAGCTGCACTGCAGGAGAAACCAAGAAAATTACTAAAAGGTTTTCATAAGCTTAACCACTTGCGAAATCAATCATTCCAAAACTCTATATCAAGATAGGAAAAATCAAAATGCTGTTCACCTGTGTATAGAAATGCAACGCTTTAGGATAATCTCCTCCGGAGAAGCATTGGTTGCCTCGAAGCTTTACTTCAGAAGCAGCACTATGGTCCTTGCCACACAAAGCCATTTCTGGGTCTGTCAACTCCTTAACAACCTTGAAAGAGCAGCTAAATTTAGCAGACAGTAGAATCCATATTCCATAATACCACTAATCTACACGCCTATACAGCCATACATCACATATACAATACACAATGGAATGACTAACCATTAACCAAGTACATAAAGACTACAACTTTCAGATCAAGAAAACACACAAAGAGCTAATTACGAATTCATGGTTCGAACTACACAAGATTTGAGCTTTTAATGCAAAGAGCCACTAAAAGCAACAGACAGATACATATATAGCTATGCAGACCGCTTTGGTTACCTGGTGAAACTGGGGCAAGCGGTGGAAGAATTCTAGGAGGGAAGAACAGGTGGCGGGGAGGCCATCCGGCGTGCTCTCAGAGATTTCCTGGCGTAGGGCTTTGGGCACTAAGGATTTCAGCTTCTCCATGTGCTCAGAAGTCAGAACAGAGGGTTTCTGTACAGGCAAGTTTAAGACTTCACTCTGTGTAATTGTGTATTGCTTTTACCTTCCTCTCAATGAGGATTTACTAATGGCAAAAAATGTTGATTTAGTTGATAAGTTGTATTTATTAGGAACTCCAATTTAGTCATTGGTTAGGGTGATTCTTTTTTTATTTTGTCTTAAATGATTTTTTTTTTTTTTTTAATTATGTCATCAACTTTGATGGTTTTACCCAACTAAATCATTTGTTAAAATAATTTGATAATTTCACATATATTAATATCTAATTTAGTCAACGATTACATAGTTTAATTTAAGTTTGTATTCAACTATAGTGATTTTACTCGATTTAGTCATTAATTCTAACAACCGATGACTCAATTGGGTAAATTCATTAAAGTCGATTACATAATTAAGCACAAAAGTAAAGAGTAAATATCCAAAATGGTCCCTCGACTATAGTTGAATTCATAAATTGGTCATCGACTTTCAATTTCAACCAATTAAGTCCTTAACGTTGTAATTTGAACACAATTTGGTCCTCTGTCTATTTGACCGTTTGTTGACTGTGATTTTTGATGATATATATGTAATTTCATGGTCTATTGTCGGTTTTTTAAGGTTCTGGTTGCATTTCCAGACCGCACTGTTACATTTGAATCCACTGCCGAAAGCAATCTACCAAATCCGGTTGCCTTTCTTCATCCTCCATTTGGATTCAATGTAGTTGAGTTCGTACCAGAACGAAGAAGACGACGTGTTTCCGAACCAGTGCAACGTCATCCTGGAGGCCTCCACGTACTCCGACGAGAGCTGAAGGTTCTTCTGGAGATCGTAGATCACGGTCAACAAACGGTCAAATAGATGGAGGACCAAATCGTGTCAAAATTACAAAGTTAAGGACTTAATTGGTTGAAATTGAAAGTCGATGACCAATTTGTAAATTTAGTTATAGTCGAGGGACCATTTTAAGTATTTACTCAAAAATAAATTAAAACTGAACCGAGAATAATCACTATAGTTGATGACTAAATTATGTATTAACTACGGAGTATATTTATTAGTGATGATTCATATCGTTGTTAATAGTACTATATTTAACAAAAACTAAAGTGTATACATAATTATGTTTGGTATATTATCGTACATATTAATATCATAAAATTTCTTATTTGATTATAATATTATCAAAAAACTAGACGATTTAGTCGTTAAAAATATCCGAACAATTAACCTTATCAAAGTTATCTAGTCGATGCTCTAGGACTTTCTATAAACTTAGCAAAAAACTAGTTGACCAAATTGTTAATGATATTAACCTTATCAAAGTTATATCTGTTTAGTACAATGAGACTGTCTATAAACTTACAATACTTTTTAATTTGTTGATTTTTTTTTTGTTTTACCGGATTAAGTATAATGAGATTAGCATAGTGAGCCAAGGTATGAGCATAACCCTAGCATTCTAGCAATAAGATGATATATAATACATGAATATAAAAAATGTATTTTCCAATAAAATTGTAAATAATAAGAGATAATTTCATCGAAGTTGGTCTGACAGTAAATTTAATAATGGTAAAATTTAAAGTGTACAAGAAATTTCACTCATAAAGTATATTTAGATTAGATAGTAACGGTAAACTTTTATATAAATCAAAAATAAAATCTTAAATCTTAAATAAACTAATCCTTTATATAATAAAGCTATATGGTTTGGGAAATAATTAATGTTACAATTAATGCCACAACATCCTTTATTATAAAAAAAAAAACACGACATTTAAAAAATAAAATAGCTATATATTATATAATCATATAAAAAATATACTTTTGAAAAATAAAATAGCTACGGAGTATATATTATATAATCATATAAAAATGTGATCAATTAGAGTTTAAATTTACACATACAAAGTTTGAAATTTGCTTTCCAAATGTAATTATCTTAGTTATTATTCGTATTGTGAAAATTATAATATAGATGAAATACAATTAAGAATAAATCAATGTAATTATGTAAATTCTCTCTATACCAAGACTATGTGGTCTAATGGTATCCGGGTTGGACTTTCATTTGGAAGGTTATAAGTTTGAGCCTTAGTGGAGGTGTTATTGGTTTTTTGTGTTTCAGTAGATTGAGAAAGTATATGAACAGATACTACATTGTAATAGAGCCAGTTCATTCAAAAAAATGTAAATTCTCTCTATAAGTTTATTTGAATATGCACATAATTAGAGATTATATTAACCATACAAAATTATAATTTTAATTTTGTATTCTATAAAAATAATAAATACTTGACCAATGGAAGCTCAAAAATATTATTATATTAAATAATTTAAAATATTTTAGTTTTTCTATTTTTTATTTATATTTATAATAATATAATTTTTTCCCGTGCATCGCGCGGGTGAATTACTAGTATAAACTAATAAGGGAAAATGACGCTTTTTACCGCTAAGTTATATACTTATAGCACTTTTTCCCCCTCAATTATTTAGGTAAGCACATTTGCCCCATCAATTATTTTAAAAGTGGTGCTTTTTCCCCATGATATATTAAATTGACATTTATACCCTTAAAGTAAACATTTTATTTATTTTACTACTCCAACAAATTATTGCGTATACGTAAGAATGACCACGGTTCGGTTTGAATTGAACCGGATACTAAAGCAATCGAATTAATAGTTTCCGGTTATAATTCAGATCTAGAATTCAATATTTAAATGTCAATTTATTAAAATTATGTATCAAAAAAATTGAATCTTGAACCGTGAACCGGCGGTTCCGAATTCGATTCGCGATTTTGAACCGTCTTTATTTTAAAATTTTATTTTTTATTTTAAAATAGTCTAAATTCAACAATAAATGTATTTTATTTTTTCAGTTCGAAACATGAACCGTCCGTTCCGGTTCACGATTTTAATAAACTCTAAATATCGAATTTCGATTCTAAATTGTAATTGGAATATTTCGGTTTGGTTGCTATAGTGTTTGTTTGGTTTGAACCAAATTATGGTCATAATTTGTTGGAGAAAAAAAAATAAATTAAATATTTAATTTAAGGGTAAATATGTCCATTTAACATTTCAGGAGGAAAAACAACCACTTCAATAATTTAGGGAGAAAAAATACAATAGGTATATAACTCAGGAGAAAAAAGTGTCATTTTCCAACAAATAATAATAAAATCATCTCAACCGTCAACACAAACATTTTCCTATAATAAAAGCATTAAAAAAAGATTAAAAGAAAACACAAAATCCCGAGGGAGAGACGATTACAAAGTGGTACGAAGGCGATAAGGCCGTCACTGAAGTTTCAAGAGAGAGAGAGGAGCCCTTCCTTAAACCCTTCTCTCTCAAGTCTCTGCTCTCTATTTTTTATCGCTCTCCGCCATTAAAATCCCTTTCTTTCAGATTGCAACGAGAAGCCATCTATCTCCGGTGACCTGCAATCCGTGAGTTTTCACTATCCCCTTTCTCTGTCAATTATTGATAATGTCATTTAATTAGTTAATGATGATGATAAAATTTAACATTCTTGCTTAAATTCTTCACTGTTATATCTCGCACAATTTGAAGAGTGTTTCCTACACAAGCCATAGCTTTATAGGCGATTTTACTTACAAAATTTGGTTTTTTTTAATGTTTAGTTTTGCTATTTTGTTATTGGGCTGGGGATTTTCCCCAATAGATTGCTTACATTTTCTTTTGGGTGTTAGGGTTAACACTCAATTTCATCTCTTTAGTCATTATTTTAGCATATAAGTTTGGTTTTGTTAGTTCAGTGGTTATTTTGTACCCAAATTCCTTCATATTATTGCAATTTTTTTTGTATTATGGTTAATCATTAAGATGTTGGCTCTAATTTGAGCTGGGGTTTCATTACAGTCTCCATGGCTGCACAAGTAGTGAGAGAATGGGCTGGTATTCAGCAGTTTCCGGCTGCCACTCAGACCAAGTTACTTGAATTGTTGGGGAAATTGAAGCAGGAGGTTCAGCTCTCCCTTTTAACTGATTTTTAATGTATTTTGTGTGGTTTTCTACACTCCAATGATGGCACATTGGATGACATTATTATATTATGCATTTTTTGGATGTTAATATTGTAGAACGTGAGCACTTTGACTATCCTGGTGGTGGGGAAAGGTGGTGTTGGAAAATCGTCTACTCTGAATTCAATCCTGTCTGAAAGAGTCGTTGCTACCAGTGCTTTCCAGGTATCTATCGTGTTAACTTTAGAGAAGGAAGCTTTTGTGCTGTTTGTCAATAGTAATAGGAAGGTTATGATTTTCAGGCAGAACCTCCAAGACCTATAATGGTCTCACGAGCACGGGCAGGATTCACTTTAAACATTATTGACACTCCGGGGCTTGTTGAAGCAGGATATGTGAATGACCAGGTTATTGATCTCATAAAAAGGTTTGCATCTATTACATTTTGCAAATTCTGAACTCCTTATTTAAAAACAGTTTTTCTATGCGTACTTGTGGGGTATGTGTGTGTTTCTTGATTCGTTAAATGCATTCTCCTTTGGTGTTTGAATTTGAATAGGTTCCTTTTGAACAAGACAATAGATGTTTTGCTCTATGTGGATCGCCTGGATGCGTATAGAGTGGATAACTTGGATTTACAGATTGTCAAAGCCATAACTGATAGTTTTGGCAAGCAAATCTGGCGTAGAGGCATTGTTGCACTTACTCATGGTCAGATGTCACCACCTGATGGATTGAGTTATGATGAGTTTGCCTCCAAAAGGTCGGCGGCAATTTTGAAGGTTGTTCGCCAGGGAATAGGAATGAGGAAATCAGAATTTCAGGTTCATTATCATTTTCACACGTTCTTTTTATTTGGCGAATTTGGAAAACATAAGGGTGTAGATAGAGGAAAGGATGGTGGAAAATTCTTGTAGAAGAAATGTTCTCCATTTTTTTGTTACGATTATTATTGCAAGTGTTCCCTTTGATATTTGGATGTGTTATTGATCCCGTTTGCTATCCTGCTTTCAGAAAACTCCAATTCCCCTCGTCTTGGTTGAAAACAGTGGACGGTGCAACAAGAATGAAAGTGATGAGAAGGTTTGTCTTGTTTTATGGGGAGTCAATATTTTTTTTTAGTTTCTTTTTTTTTTTTGTTTGACCCGTAAAAAAGTCCTCTTTGGTTTGCTAAAATGTTTTGCCTGCAGATCCTTCCCAATGGAGAAGCTTGGATACCTGGTCTTGTTCATAAAATCACGGAAGTTGTCTTAAATGGAAGCGAGAGTATTTTGGTCGACAAGAAGTTGGTTGATGGACCAAATCCTAATGAAAGGGGGAAGTTATTTATCCCTCTCATTTTAGCTTTCCAAGTAAGCATTTGATTTGGAGGTCTTTTTCTTATTACACTACTGAACCTGGAAAATGTTTCGTAATTCCCCCGTTTTCTTGGCAGTATTTCTTTGTTGTGAAGAAGATTGAGAACTGGATCAGGGCCGATATAAGGAAAGATCGCAGGTCAAAGCGTTTCTGATGTTCTCTGTCTTCGATGCATCGATTTGTTCTAATACCGTAGAATCTTTTGTAGTAGTTGTCTATCACTCTATCCATCAGAGGCAACTGGAAAGTTATATGCGGCTGTTGAATTTCAATTTTCTTCAAAGAGCTTAGATTCTGTACTAATTGTTAACTCAGATTTCTCACTCTCTTTCTGGGATTGCTTGAATTTATTCTCCATTTTCATTCTCAATTTCTTTTTGGTTCTGTTCCAATTATTATGTATTCTTGCTGGCTGCTATCTTATTTCCTGTGAACAAGGAATATTGATGATGATGAACATGCAATTCAAATACATAAAGATGAGCATTTAGTTTGACTGTAATGAACATTAATTATACTCCGTAGCATTTTTAATTTAAATAAATGTAATATACTTACAATGAAACTATGAAAGAACTCAAAGAAGATAATCAGTTTAAACTGAATAATGTGTTTTTCAAGATATTGTGATAATCACTTCAAAAACATGGTCACCTTCCTTTTAAGAATTCAAAGCTTAATCATATTATCTATCCTTCACCCACAACATGGTATAAACCTTGGTCAATGTCTGGGGGCTATATGTCTTTCAAAACAGGCCAGCCTTTCTTGATGATATCATTAATCTTTGCATCAATCTGCTTTTGGATCCTTGGAGGGCAAAGTTCTGCTGCATAGCCATTTAGTTTTGCTGCCATTGTTGATGTCTCTAGCTCTTCCTCGGGCATGTTCCCCATCAACTGAAGAAGGAATGGATTCCGTTTCAGCTCAAATTTCTGCAGAACGGAAATCATATACTTGCAGTTCAGTATGTCGATAATCATTAATGAATAAGTAGCAAAGGATGAAACAAATATTTCAGATTTTGGATTTGGAAAACTAATTTTGGCTCTCTTCATACTTAGTTAAAGAAAGATTGTATTCTCTTCTCACCCCAAATATCCACTGTTCTGATCAAAGGAATCAAACATCCATATCTCTTTCAAGTTTCAACACCAAAGTTTAAATGCTAGCTAAAATAGCTCCAAATCCTTAATGTCAATTTTGAGAAAGCACCGGGGCTAGATTATGAATACTACTATACCTGATGTTCAGGCTCTGCAGGGTAAAATGTTTCTAGCTGTTGAATTTGAGTAGTGACAATGCTGCTCCTGGACCTTGATTGCTCTCGTTCTTTGCTGACCCCAGCCAATCTGGCCTCCTCGGTTGCATTTGTGAATATGATAGACCTGCTTTACACACACAATATGAACTCTATCTTGAACTTGCATAGTTGCAGGCATGCATTCTGCAGTCTCCAGGAAATGTCACTTGTGAATGAGAGTGATACCTGTACTGGTTACCCACATCAGGGCCTTGCCCGAAGACTTGCCTAGAATCGTGGCTTGACCAGAAGACCTCCAGCAGTTGTCTAAAACTAACCAATCCAGGATCGTACTCAATCTACGGCATATTTTATGAAAGCCCGTTAGAAAAGAATCGAATGAAATAGATATTCATTCACAAAGAAATGAAAATGGATTTACAATGGAAGATTCACAGAAGTGATTAATTTCAAATACTAGTTAGGCCACCTTACTGCCACAAAAAAACAGACAACTGAAGCTAAAAGAACAAATGAGCAATCATCAAGTGTAAGATAATTGAAAGCAAAATCAAAATAATTATGTGAAATAGCAAAAGAACGCAATGCTTTGTTGTTAGCTCCCAACAAAATTGTCTCGTTTAGAACAAATATAAATCCAACAGGAAGAAAGAGAAACTGCAAAGACAATGGCCATGGCATAATCAAATATCACATTTGTCAAGAACATAAACTGCATTACTGGAGAGCCCGCAAAGTTATGAAACAAAAATGCCATTACTGAAGCACCAACAGATGCCATTACGCATCCAATGAACACTAGCTAGTTTTTCACCCAAATTGTTAAAGATTGTTCCTTTAGCACAACTCAGACTCGATTGAATCCTCAGATATTACAATTTATTCTTCAATGACCATTTTGCCTTCCTAGTTCTCTACAAGCTGAATGTAAAAGCACTTCTCCATTCAGAAACAGTTATACAAGATACATCATTCATCCACAACTTAAGTTCTGCTCCATTAACAAATTTGTATGTCATACATAAAGCACATCAACAGTGTTGCCCGCATGAACAGCTCAGGTGGTTCCCGGGCAGTAGATTGTGGACAAGGATAGGGGATTGAGCCTGCAGCCGCAGTGTAGGAATTACACTCAATATGGTGGGCTCCACAAGCACGGATTCGGGCCGCTAAGTCACCCTGATTTACCACTCCACTATTTGGGTCGGGTCGATATGTGGAGCTAGGAAATTTTGCCTTTTGTAGGCTAGGGTTCAATAGCGTGATTGTGATCAAGCCAAAGTAAATAATTTTAACAGGTTTGTGAGTTACGCACGAAAATAGAGGATTCAATCTTCGGAGTTTCAGGGAATGAATGTTACCTGCACACACTCGGCGTGGTCGCCCAAGTTGCGGTACTCGGGGTTGCTCCTGGACCCTCCGGCATAGCCGGCGGTAGTTCTGACGACGCCGTCTAAGCAACCAAACACCGCCTCGGACCTCCAAAAGCTTCCCAGAGCAAAAACCGCTGTTTTCAAGGGGCGATTGAACGGATCCGCCGGAGACTCGAGGGTCCGATCCGATAACCTGATGCTTACAGTTGGACTTGTGAACAATAAAACAGTTAGGAAAAGGAAATTACTTGTAACGGAGGAGAGAAATGCAAATCTTCCAGCGACCTTCATTGGGGAATAGAACAGCGGAACGGAAACCGGCCGGAGAAGGCGGACTTGCCGGAAAACAAATAAGTTCTGAGAATTGATCCTGTGCTATTCTTCACACGTAACCGAACAAACATTTAGGGGTGTTATGTAATTTTCTATTAAACTGTGGCCAAAATAATAAATAAATGAAAACATCAAGGCTCTGTTTGATAACATAGGTAGTTTGATAACATAGGTAGTTTATCAGTCAATTTCAACACCACTATTAGCTGGTTGACTTGGTTAAAGTGTTTGATTAATTAATTTTTTTTTTGTAACAACTTATTACTTCAAAATGCTAAAATGCAAAAAAAGCTCGATCAAACTTTTTAGAAAGTCATTTGCATGTAATCAGCTATCAACAAACAGTTAATTTACCAAACATCTTTCTATAATCAGTATTTATCAAACACTTCCCAAAATATTTTAGATCATGTTGGTTTTGTGATAGTGGGACGAAGTCAATAGAAAATTTAATGCTGGTCTCGGCTAATATACAACTCTTATAAGAGTTAAACTTAAAATTTTGTGATTACTTAGTGAATTATTCAATTAACTCGACTGAAGATCATCATCCCTAAATAAGTAGAGATAGTATAATGAAATTTGTTAAATGAATGGATACATATACCATTGCCTTTACTAGTATAAAGATTAAGATTTATGTCTAGCACTCATTTGACAAAACCAATGGAGAATTTAAAAACAAAAATTGGGTACATATCGTGAGACATTTCATCTAAAATTACAAACTTGTTGACAATCAGGCATTTGCATGCTTCAATTCGGTTGTTATAGTGAGAAGGGTTTGCTGTATACATCAAATTGTTCATTAGCACTCAACTGCGGCTCCTGCCAAAAACAAAAGAGTAAACAATCTTAACTTTACATATGAGCTAGGTAGCACAGAAACAAAAAACAAGAAAACAGAACATATAGATCTCAAGAGTTCCCAAACATTATAGTTGCCGAGACACCATTTAATTTGGTTCACAAGGAAAATCTGCAGTACGGGATAAATCCCAACTTGTGACCCTAGTCGGGATTCAGACATCATTTGATGTACACGAAAAAACATGGTCTAGGTTGTATGTACTAATGTACCTGTCTCATTCCAATGCCACCACTCCCTCCAGTAACAAGCATTGTCAGAAGTGATGTCACAAGGCTTCCAGCAGAACCTCCTAACAAACCATTGTCTGAACTGCGGATTGAAGCTCTCATTGCATTAAGAATGCTGCCGTAGGTTGTCCCTTGCCCATGTTCAATTGCTTGGATGAAAGAATATGTCATTGCACCTGTGGAAGTAACCTGGGCTAAACTCTGCAACAATCAACAAACATCATATCAGGAATCAGCTGATTATTCATTATCAGCCCCATCATCTCAAGAATTGAATCTTTACATCTGTATCAGCAGATGCTTGATCATCATCACAGCCACTGAAGGATATGACTTCTCCCCCGCTCGATCCTTTCCAGGCTCCAGAACGAGGCCGATGATCCTCCCACATATACCTCCCACTTCTGCATCATATCCAAATCAAAAATGCTGATTGAGATCACCCTTTTCTTCAATTCTGCATATATTGTTTCGATCAAAACATACCTGTCCATTCTGCAAAGAAAGGGTAGATCAAGCATGGTGCCACTATGGCAGGCATCTATAATGGCATGAAGCTTAGCCCCGCGAGGGATAGGCCTAACAAGCGTGGCGTTGATTTCATCATCAATGATCATCCCTTGAGTCTCGAAATCCAAGGGGCAAAGCGTTTCGTCGTAGCCATCGACTTCATCCCCGTTGTAGTTCCTTTGCTGTGACCCGTGGCCCGAGTAGTGGAACACCATAGAATCCCCTGGCTGACAGCCCCCCACAAGCCAGTGCATTGCCATCCTAATGTTGTGTTTGGTTGGGATCCTGTAGGGGTCAGTTTCCTCTTCTGAAAGTATACTTTCCAGAAGAGAATCAAGATCAAAACTTGTTAGCAAGGATTGCTATATGACCAGCAAAAGAGAGCTCAAATACATTTGAAATGAACATTGCATACAGTTTAAGAACAATCTCTCAGCTCAGATCAATACAAACTACCCAGAGCAGCTTAAAGCAAAGATATTGATTTGTGGGGCAACCTCAAAGTTGTTAGTTTGGTAACCATAAGGTTTCAAGTTTGACTCCCAACAGAAGTAACCTATTAATTTTCTCGGTTTGAGCCAATCAACTATGGACAACCTAAGCTGACCTTCCTGTAATCCTTTACTAGTTATGGTCACAAGACAAGATTTACCCTGCACACTTTTAAATAGTGGTCACTCAAAAGTTACAAGTTTTATTCTGTCTTTCTTAGTTTGAGTTGATACGTTGTGACCAATTTAGATTGATTTACTTACTTATGGTTATGGTTCTTTGTCACTAAGATCATAAGGCAGAATTTACCAAATATACGTCTTAAATAGTGAATGCAAATTTTTATCTCACTACAAAAACAATGCATTCTAAGTTGTACAAAATTTCAACACAGAATAAATTCCATGTAGACCATGTTTCAAACAAAATCAATGATTTGAAGGAAACTGTACCAGTGAGCATGAGAATGGAGTCTGGGGGGAACTTGAATCGGTTGACCAGCAAGAACCTCATACATTTAGCATCATTCAGACACCCTTTCAGCTCATGCCTCGAGTTCCGGTAAGAAATCCCGACGATCACCGCCCTCTTGCGGCCGTGGGGTTGACCGGAGGAGGGGCCGGCGGGGGAGAACGGAGATGGAGGTGGCAGTGGGGCGGCGGCGAGAGGATCGGCGACGCGCGTGACGGCGCGGCAGATTGCGCAGCGGATGGTCCTGGCACCCGGCGGGAGCTGCAAGGGGGTGCGGCAGCAGGAACAGTCAACGAGCATCATCGTTTTCAGCGAAAAGTATTTGAAGAAAACGAGGTTTTCCGGCCTAACAGAGAAATTAAAAGTAGTGTGAATTATTATTGAATGGATGACAATGTTTGGTCGTATGTATGGAATGATGGTCACAGGTCACTAGTGGAGGAGTTGGTACTTGATAGGAAGGAGAGATGAGGACAAAACGAAACTACTTTAAACTTTCTTTTTGTTTTTTGAAAAGACAAAACGAAACTACTTGGATTGACACTTTCATGCAAAACCCAAAAGTACTCCTTAATCACTTTTCATTTAGAATGAGTCATTTTCAATAAAATATTTTTCAGTGTTTTGGGTTTTGAAAAAAATTGTTTTGTTATGTTTGGTTCATTTTTCAAAAGATGAACAAGAGTTGTAAACATTTTAATTGTTTTGTTTATATATAACAACATTTATATAACAATTAGAACAAGACAACATATAATTACAACTCATTCATGGAAAAATAGAATAGATAACTCTGACGGACTGATTTCGATATAAATTTTCAACGTGGTCTTTTGGTAGAGAGGTGTGATTTGTTAGTAGAAAAAGGCATGGAATGACTTATCAACAAAAAAAAAAAAAAGTTATTTTCTTGAAAAACATATCTATTTGAGTTGGTACTTGTAAGAATGAGAGATGAGAACAAAACGACACTACTTTTTTTAAACGAAACTACTTGATTGACACTTTCATGCAAAACCCAAACTCCTCAATCACTTTTCATTTATGGTGTGTTTGGAAGTAGAAAATCGATTTCTAGAAAACGAGTCATTTTCAAGAAAATATTTCTCTTTATAGTGTTTGGTTGCGTTCGAAAAAACTGTTTTTGTATGTTTAGTTCATTTTCAGAAATCATTTTTCGAATTTCCAAATACACCCTTAGGAGAAAGTCTACCTATGACTATTTAAAAGTATACTCAAGATCAAGTACATGATCCTAGTAAACAAATGATCATACACGGATAAACTATCTTAGTTTTTAACATTTGATCAACTCAAATAAATAATCGAATTAATTGTCCGACCAACTTAGATGACAGGATGAGTATAACATGATTATCATATTAAAAGATCATAGACTCAGTTTTATTCAACACTGTTTTAGTCAAGCATATCACACGTTAATGCACTAGTTTAATCAAATTTGTCACACTTTTATTTTTCTATATAGTTTATTGAGTTTATTAAATACACACTCTTAAAATAATAATTACAATATTTCTTCCAAAAAAGTAGTGATAATATATATTTTTCATGTAACTAAAAAAAAAAAGCACCAATATAATTATCCACTAACAAATTTGTTAAATTTAATGATTAACCAATCAAAACATACCATGTATAACAATATAACATTATATTTGTTAGGTACAAACTAAAAAACTTGTCAAACAACTTCCATTTTTTGAGAAGATAAAAAACTATCATTTTAACAAGTTCCGAGAGGATCCATTCATGGAACTGTAGAAATCTCCGAATTCGCAACTCATCTTTGGTTGATCCCCTACGTAATATTTGCGCTTCTCTGTTATTTCTTTCTAATAAAAGTATAAAAATTCCGATTAATCTCCGGCCACCAAAGAGCCATCACCCATCCATCTCAGCTGCCTCTTCTCTGAGTTTTCTGGTTTATTCTTCAGTTATAAACAGACGCACGAGGGAGCCATGAACGCTCTTGCAGCTACCAACCGCAACTTTCGCCTGGCGAGTCGCATTCTCGGGCTCGACTCCAAAATCGAGAAAAGTCTTTTGATCCCCTTCAGAGAAATTAAGGTACGTGTATTAAATTTGTGTCGCTGGGAAAAAGCTAAAAAAGAATGTGTTTTTGGGGATCTTTCCAGGCAACCCAGAATAGGGAATAGCGAAAGGAGTGATCTTTTCAAGCACCCTTTGTGTTTTAGTGTTAAAAGAAATGTGATGATTGGTGGGATTTGATCAGGTGGAATGCACAATTCCAAGGGATGATGGAACTCTGTCATCTTACATTGGATTTAGAGTGCAGCATGATAATGCTCGTGGGCCAATGAAAGGAGGGATAAGATACCATCCTGAGGTGATTATTCTTGATTCTTGTTCTAATCTTTCTTATAAAAGATACAACTTTTATTGCCCAAAAAGGCAAATTCCATCGTCCCGGCCCATATTTTGGTTCGACAAGATTGTGGAGAGGTAAATCACTACCCAGTAAGGATCAGGTACTCACAAGGAGTCACAGACTCCCATATTGCGTCCTTGAATTACACGTGCGGGCTAGATACAGGCTTTACTTTGTGACCGCTTTGCTTGTTTTATAAACACAACATTCTTTTGATGACTTGGTTGATTTTGCTGGGATTAAGAACCTGAGTACAGTGTTGATTATTGTTTCAATATAATTTGTTAAGAAATCTGAGGATGAATTGAGGTGGATTGGGACTTGGGAGGGGCTGCATTGTTTTGTATTGGCTTTATTGTTGTTTATGTTGCAATGCTTTGATTAGCCTATAAGATTAGCAGTGTGATGACTTCTTGTGTTGCCCAAAGTATCTGACTTTCTGCCATTGATTGCATTAATGGATTTAGTTTCAATTTGGTTGAATCAGATATGTTTTGCACAATGTTCCTGAGAAATTGTGTTTGTGCCTCTGCATTTAGTATGAACCAATGGGATATAGATTTGGAAGTTTTCATCTTGTCTTAACTTTAGTGAGTTTTGTTGTTTTCTTTAATGTTAAATTGCAATTTCAAATATGTAGTTTACCAACCTGTTTGGTCAGATTGGAAACAAGATGCTACTCTGCTGAGGCTTTTTTCGAAATTACCAGATCTTCATGTGATATGTACCTAGTCTTGTGCTGAGGTGTTTTTGTCTGTTGTTTTGTACAAGGTTGACCCCGATGAGGTGAATGCTCTTGCTCAACTGATGACATGGAAGACAGCTGTAGCGGATATCCCATATGGTGGAGCGAAGGGCGGGATTGGATGCAATCCAAAGGATTTGAGTCGGAGTGAGTTGGAGCGCCTTACTCGTGTCTTCACCCAGAAGGTTCATGATCTCATCGGGATCCATACTGATGTGCCAGCGCCCGATATGGGCACTAACTCCCAGGTTAATCATCCTTTTCATCAGAGTTCTCGTGTTTTTTCTCCAATGTTTTGTTTCATTTACGAGCTAACAAATGTTTAAGGAAAAAAGACTAATTCTTAGAATGTTTAGGAACCAATAGACTATGGCTTGGATTCTTGATGAGTATTCGAAATTCCATGGCCACTCGCCTGCTGTTGTCACAGGAAAGCCAATCGTAAGCTCCTATTCATAACTCATAATGTTCTTTTTGCATACTTAGATTTTCCTACTGAATCAAAAATGCTATCTTTTTAAGTACCCTCTTTTCGTTTTGTATGTTAGGATCTCGGGGGGTCACTTGGCCGTGAAGCTGCAACTGGGCGTGGAGTGGTTTATGCCACAGAAGCTTTGCTTTCTGAATATGGGAAACCAATTAAAGATATGACCTTTGCTATTCAGGTTAATCTTATGGTGTTTCTTTGGTTTTTTATTTTATCGTGCTAAAGAATGTGTATATATCCCGGTATCTGAACTTCACGAATTTTAGGGGTTTGGAAACGTGGGGTCTTGGGCAGCAAAGCTTTTGCACGAGAGAGGTGGTAAGGTCGTTGCAGTTAGCGACATAACTGGGGCTGTCAAGAACCCGAATGGGATTGATATCCCGGCTTTGCTCAAGCATAAAGAAGCAACCGGGAAGCTAACTAATTTCAGCGGTGCAGATGCCATGGATTCCAACGAATTGGTGACATATAAATGCGATGTTCTTATTCCCTGCGCTTTGGGTGGAGCCCTTAACAGGTTTCTAGCGATTCCCTATAACTGTATTCGATCACTGCATACGATTTTATCTTTTCGATTTCCCTCTGCAGAGAAAACGCCTCGGATATCAAGGCCACGTTCATCGTAGAAGGTGCAAACCATCCCACCGATCCAGAAGCTGATGAGGTACCAAACACGTAAACTTCGTATCCCAATTCATACATGTTATTCATGTTCTCAATCTTGAATCTTCTGCAGATTTTGTCCAAGAAAGGAACCGTGATTCTCCCCGACATTTATGCCAACTCTGGAGGTGTGACCGTGAGTTACTTCGAGTGGGTTCAGGTAATATGGTTAAATGGAGAGACGTAAACCTCTACGAATGAATCATGGTATATCTTGAACTGCATTTTCTCCGTCTTTTTTTTGACAGAACATTCAAGGTTTTATGTGGGACGAGGATCAAGTAAACGAGGAGCTCAAGAAATACATGACCCGAGCCTTCGGTGACATCAAGAACATGTGCCAGACCCACGCCTGCAATCTTCGGATGGGCGCGTTCACTTTGGGGGTGAACCGCGTTGCCCGCTCCACGCTCTTGAGGGGCTGGGGATCATAGACTGCAGAATCTTCATTTCTTACTCTGATCTGTTATGCCCTCTAATAATGGTGGCACTTCTAGACATCTAGACTTGGTTAAGGTTCACCATTTTTTTTGTTTTTGTTTTTGTTTTGTTTTGTTTCATAGTTTCTGTTCTGTTAAGGTAACACTTTCCTGCGGGACTGTTTAAGTGTTCCGTTTTCAAATAAACTACATATGTTCCATGTATAGTTTGCTAAACGTAATGTTCTCGTACCAGACTCAACTGATAATTAGTGATGGGCAGCCGTGCAGTTGTTGCAGCAAATGTTTTAAGTCACGTAGATCGCATGTAATATTGTAATGCACGACACGAGTCATATGACTGACGATGTTAATTATAGTCCGAAACTGATAAAATAGTTTGAAGAGATCGAAAAGTTAACGAGTTAGAGTAAAAAATTATTAGTTTGATAAAATAATAACTTAATTAACTTGAATTTAGGGATATGAGAACTTGAAACATCAAGTGAACTCGTTGGATTGACGTCTCCACATACACGACATCTATACTTTATTAGTGTTACTAATTGTGTTAATCGACAGTGCGTCAATTTACATTGAGTACATGTACAATCTTATCTGTTATATATAGGTAATAAATTAACAAATTTGAGTGGTGTCAATTGACACCCCTCTCCCTAAGGTAGCTCCGCAAACGGACTCCCAAATAGGAGTTCTAAATAGGAGGAGTTTTTACCCATTTTGGTCCCTTGACTATGGCTCATTCTCAATTTTGCATTCTGACTTTTAATTGCACCCAATGTGGTCCTTCGATTTTTAAAAATTACCCCGATTTGGTCCTCCATTACCTTTTCCATTAACCAGGCGTTAAGTTTGGGGATATTTTGGTCATTTCCTTGTGTTGTGTGGTTTTTGTTCTCTCTCTTGGGCTTAGCTTTCTCTCCGATCAGTTGTTCAAACAAAGAGCCGCGAGACCAGCATCTTGGAGGTAGTCAGTAGCCACCATATCCTCCAACAACCATTACATACATACCTAATTCCTAGGCATTGCTTTGTAGGTAGTCAGTAGTCACCATAGAGCTTGAGTTCGATAACGCCAATGCCATCGTCAAGGAGGAAGCGGCCGACATCATTATTGGAGGGAGACGATTTTGAGACCAAAACGCCCTGAAGCCAAGCGCGTTAGAAGAAAATTCCGCCTAGAGAGAAAGCGGGATGAGAGCCAACTGTGGCGTGATCATAAGAGCTTGTGCGGTGGTGAGGTGTGATCACAAGAGCTTGTGCGTTGAAATGGGGAAATATGGGATCAGAGCCAATTGTGTTTCGATTGCTATCATTACGACGAAGCTGGGAATCCACAGCCTCGGAGTGACCATGCAAAGCCGCGACCGCCGGGAGAACCTCCATTGACGATGGCGACTTGAGAGTTCGCAACAGGTGCGCGATCAACAAATTGGCGATGGCGATCAACAGCCCTAGCATCACTGATTCCAACGGTGGACTCCGATTGCCTATGCACGGCCGCAATGGAGTACTGCCGTCTTCTTCCGGCGATCTCCTCCATCACCTCCCTCTCCTTTTTTCCTCGATTTTCTCTCCCTCTCCCGCTAGGCAGCAGGCGAAGATGTACAGTAGAACAGAGCAGATCGACAACAGCAGCAAGTGTGGGTGGTCGGCGGTGAGCTCGGCTGGTTCTCGTCCGGCAGTAACAGAACTCCAGCGTGGGTAGCGCCGACGAGTGCAGAACAGAGCCTTCTGCAATGGCGGTGGCTGGCGGCGGTCGGAGTTGTGATGACGTGTAGTGGCATCACTGTTTCTGGGGTTCAAGGGGTGTCGGCGGGTGGAGATGTCTCTGGCTGCTCCGGCTGCTATAAGGATGGGTAGACGTAGAGAAAGCATAAACCACAAAACACAACGAAATAACTAAAATACCCCCCAACTTAGCGGTTAATTGATGGAAAAGGTAACGGAGGATCAAATTGGGGTAATTTTTAAAAGTCGAGGGATCACATTGGGTGCAATTAAAAGTCTGAATGCAAAATTGAGAATGGGCCATAGTTAAGGGACCAAAATGGGTAAAAACTCTAAATAGGAGCAACATAGCCTCAGACAAACTGACAGTTAACTTAATAACTACAATGTTCTTGTTGGGGCTATCTATTGACTTTATTGATTAAGTCGGTTGTGATTCTAGCTAGAGCTGTCTACGATGGCGGATCCATAGTGGGGCGCGCACACACACACACACACACACATAGTTAACTTATAAATAAAACTTATAGTAATACATTTTGTTTTTTGCCTTTTAAAAAATATTAATAGTAAAATTATACTCCGTAATTATTATTAATGAGATTAATTTCTAATTCTAATTGGATTTTTATTTGTAACATTGTGTTTTTTGGCAAATTATGCTGTGCAGCAAAAACAACGTCGTTATATTAAAAACGCGCGTCTCACTTAAAAAAGAAGAAGTAAGTTTCGATTCCCAGCAACAACATATGAACTAAAATTTCAGAATCGATGAACTAAAATTCCAGAGTCTATGAACTAAAATTCCAAAATCTAATCTATGAACTAAAAATTTCAGAATGAATGAACTAAAATTCCAAAACCTATGCACTAAAATTTCAGAATCGATGAACTAAAATTCCAGAATCGATGAACTAAAATTCAAGAATCTATGAACTAAAATTCCAAAATGAATGAGCAACATAATGCTGTTGAGGGAAATTGAAACTGATTTTTTTTTAAAGTGGGATGCATGTTTTTAATTAAACGACGTCGTTTTTGCATCCGTATGCACCATGCATGGTGCATACGAATGCACAACATCCCTATCCGTGTTTTTTCTCATTGTTTCTTAATATTAATGTTGATATTGATATGAGTGTCTTATAATGTATTTTCTATTTGAACTATTTTATCTACTTAATTATATTTAATATTTTGTTTTGAATATTTTTTAATCTCATTTTTATGTATTTTAATTTTTCATTTCTAGTCAATAATATTGATGGCTCAGTTCTAAGTATTTATTTATTTTTGAATATCTCATTGATTTTTAATCTTTCGCCTCTCTTGGTGAAGATTTATAGATCCGTCTCGGTCTGTCTATTAACCTTCTTGGTTTGAGACTTTGAGCTGATTAGTTACAAACAACCTAAATTGGTTTACTTACTTTGTAATCCTTTATCAGTTAGAGTCACAATGCAAGTTTCACAAAAAATACATTTAAAAAAAGTCGATGAGTATATGAAACATGATTTTTTACGTGAAACCATGAATTTGATTTTTAATGACACCTTATTAATAGAGCTCCTAGTCATACATGATCTTTCTAAATTCTAATGAGATTTATGGAATATGGTTAAAAAAAAAAAATATAAGGGTCTATCCACTATAGAATATAATATACGGAAAATATTATCATTTGACCCATTTATTGCATCATCTGCTTTCAGTTTCTTTCTTTTGCGTTTCAGTTTTAATCATCGGTTTTTCATTTGATCTTTACCCTCGAGCTCCTGCTCGGATGCGGGAACCGCCATCACTCTCAGCAGAATGCGGTCCTACGCCAGCTCTTTGTCGCGATCTCAGTCGGTGGACTCCTCGGACGCCGGCTCAGCCGCGGAGCGCCGCCTTCGCGAGGCGGAGGAGCGCCTCAGGGAGGCCATAGAGGAGCTGCAGCGTCGACAGCGTCGCGAGCGTGGTCTCCACCCGCCTTGCGACCACGCCGATGAATCCTGCGTCGCCAATGCCATCGGTAACCTCTGTCAGAGCTTCCTTCTCTCTTACGGAGTTCGCGTTGGCATCGGAATTCTCCTCCGAGCTTTCAAGCTCGCTCGCCGTCAGTCCTATTCCTCTATCCTTGACCTCAAGGTTCCCAACCTCTTCATCTATCTGCCTGTCTCCATTTATTTCAGTTCATCTGTGCTGTTTAATTGGTTTATTGAATAGTCGGTATTCATTATTGTTTTAGTTCCGCCTAAAAATTTTGCTCTTTCGGTTCTTGTATTGAAATTTCTTTTCTACTTTCAATAGATCAATATGCTCATTTCTTCACTTGATTGCTTAATTGAAGAGAATTGATTCATTAGAGCATTTTATACCAGTACAATATATTGGAGTTGTTGACTTATGAACTTCTACAGTACTTTTTTGCATCCTGTTTGTATCCATAATCAAACAAAACAGACTGAAAACTAGAAGTATGTTACGAATGCAATTATTCTTTATAATCAACTAAGTTATCTTTTGTAGTTAAATTAACAGAAATTAATCCCTAGCTTAATTAACAGTTTGCCCATTGCTTTGTGTGAGAGCGTGTTTTCCTGCCTGGAATCATAATTTTCTAAAAGCACAAATTCTATACAGCAACTTGTCTCAGAAAAAGATCTGATTGTAAGAGAGGAAGCATGTCGGATTGGCTTACTTTTTGGGGGGTTTACTGGTTCCTATCATGCTCTAAGGTGTTTGCTGAGAAAGCTGAGAAAGAAAGAAACTCCACTAAATGCGTAAGTTTATCATGCAAAAACGCTCTATTCTGTTAACTGTGTTTAAGATTTTGTTACATTTTTAATGGATTGTGTCCTATTCCATTAAAGTGACTTTGCTAAAGGGGATGATGGGGCAGAATTTTAGCAGGTTCAGTTGCAGGTCTGTCCATCTTAGCACTAGAAGATTCCAGCCGGAGGCGCACACTTGCTTTGTATCTTCTAGCTAGGGTAGCCCAGGTACATTGTCATGGATACCTGTTTCTCCATTTCAAGTTTTATGATTCATGAAATACAAACAATGTTTCATTTCTTCTACTTCCGGTGGTAATCTGATTACTCGTCATCAATCAGTGTGCATATAACTCTGCTAAATCCAAGAACAAATTTCACCTTTGGGGAAGTCATTGGAGTCATGGAGATTCTTTGCTCTTTGCTTTAGCTTGTGCCCAGGTATTTTGCTTATCTCTCAACAAAATATATCATATTCTATTTGTAAACCTGTTTGGCTGTGTATCTTACTAGGTTGTATAGTTCTGGTGGGAGTGGGATTGAAGGTGCCAAGCTATGGTTTCTTGCTGGCATAATATCATTATGTATCATCATGTTTCTTATTAAATTGCTGTAGTTCCGAGACGAGTTGCTGTGTATCTTACTAGCTTATCATCATGTTTCTTATTAAATTAGGAAAATGTTTAATTACTTGTTTCTTTTGGCACTTAGACGTAGTAGGTCTCACTTTATCCTTTGTGCATACTTGTTTCATGTTGCATTTTCATTAATTTTAAAATGATTTCAGGTTATGTATGCCTTCATCATGCGCCCTGAAAGCTTGCCAAAATCATATCAAGATTTTATTCAGAAAACTGGCCCTGTTTCAGCACCAGTTTACAAGGCAGTTAAGGATTGTTGCAGGGGCTCACCAGTAGATGTTGCGTCACTATCTGCTTATTTATCCTACAAAAAGATTCCAAGCAATGTGAAGCTGGAAGAATTCCCTTCTATTATTCCATGTTCTTTGATTCATGCTGGCACCAACTCCTGTTTGGTACACAATGCTAACGCAACAGCAGCTACTTTTCGGAAAACATTTCCTCTCTACTTCTCTTTGACTTTTGTTCCATTTGTTGTTCTGCGCTTGCAGAAGGTAAATCCTATTCTAAAGTTTAAATAAACTTTTCTGGTTTATATCTTCTAGACTAGGGGTTTCATACTTAGCACTTATTAGTTTCTTTGGTTGAAGTGTGATTGATACATTATTGACTGTCTGAAGTCAAGCTTCTGTATAATGAATTGGTAACTGATTTTGCTGAATGTGTTGGATTAACCTGGGTACAGTATAACTCTGTTATTTAAAATGGCACTATTGTTGGATATTAGAGGAAGTTTCTTTTCTTTTGGTTTAAACTGACCCTAAATCTTCTACAAGATTAATTGATGATCGTGCTGCCTCCAGGATGTAACCCCCTTCAGAATAATGAGCAACAGAATTTGATGTAGTCTCTTCATACATTTTAGAGTTGTCTATTGGTTAGCAGTGAATAGAATTTCCAAACTCATTAGATGCTGTTGTTTGATTGGGAAGGACATGCATACTCTTTTATGTTTCCCTTGTGCACTGCTGTAATGTAATTGTAACTGAGTAAAAAACTTTATTGCAACCAAATACATTGGTTTTTAACACACCTATTGATTGTATTTGATGTTCTTACCAGTTTATGGCTGCCCCTGTACGCACCTGTTGGCATGCTCTTACTGGAGCTGTCCGTTCAACAACTTTTTTGTCAGCTTTTGTTGGGATCTTTCAGGTATTTGGTTTACCATCTTTGTTTTTGTTCATGAGACTTTGCATAAACTTACAAATGGTTTTCTCTTGTCATTTAAAAAGGCAGTCATATGCTTGCATAGAAAGGTTGCAACGAAGGACCATAAGCTTGTATATTGGGTTGCGGGAGGAGCATCTGGCCTCTCTGTGCTATTAGAGAAAAAAGCAAGACGTTCTGAGCTTGCCTTGTATGTTCTTCCACGAGCTGGGGAATCTTTATGGGGTATTCTAGTAAATCGCCATTTGATGCCTGATGTCAAGAATACAGAGGTATTGGATATTGATTTTGGATGTCTTTGTTACTTTGAACCTCAATTTGTGTAGATTGTAGTGAATTGCCATTTGTTCCCGAACATCAAGAATGCAGAAGTATTGCCTATTGTCTAGTATGGATAGTCCTACTAATCTCCGCTGCATAATCTCTCGTTCCATATTACTTCAAAACCTATTCAATTTAGGCTTCTTCGTTACTTCAAAGTCCAGTTTGTGTAGATTGACGTGCTCTTTTCTGTTCAAAGTGTTTGGCTTTATGCTGTTTTGATTTTGTATTTTTTTCTTGGTTCTAACTTGTATTGCATTTAACCCTTTTCCATTCTGGGGTAGGTTGGAAATTGATAAAGTTAGCAAACTATTTTGAGTAGGCTAATCTTGTTAGTGTTCGTCTCTTTTGTCAAGTAACTGAAGTGTTTTTATTGGGTGTGAAACTGTCCCAGGTGGCCTTGTTCTGTGCTTGCATGGGGGGAATCATGTACTACCTGGAGCACGAACCAGACACGATGGCTCCATTCCTGAGGGGCCTGATTCGCCGATTCCTTGCCAGCAAAATTAGCAACCTTAGTCCTTCATCAAATAGGAGTGCATCTTATACATATCTGCAAGCTCTTGATGCCATGAAGAAACCAAAAGAAAATCAAGACGCTGAAACTTCAACTACAGAAAAATATAATCTTGAATCCATACCAGGACTCTGAGCTATATTCATGTTCGTAAACCCGGCCTGCAGCTCTATTTATATACTCCATATAATTTATAATCTGTCACCGGCAGCAGCAGTGATGCTTAACCCATTCTCATTCAAAGAAAGAGGGTATCAACAACGACACCAGCGCCTCTTACCTTCCAGAACTGATGGCTCGTTTTGTTGTATTCTGATAGAACGGTTGTTTTAACAGCTCAAGACTACGTACTTTACATGATTTATTCCTTCTTCTGACGTAGTACATTGTCTTTGGATAAACAGGTATTGTTCATTAAAATGTTTGACTGTATACTAGTAGTATTCATATTCCTTTCGACAAATTTTGCATTTCTTGTTGGGTTTGTGTCCGTAATTCATCCTTAACATTCTTGTGGGTGGTGTTAGTTTAAACTTCTAGTTGAAGTTGAAGGGATACTGTCCGTTATCCGTTGTATTTTTATTGACAGTTTTAAGTCTTTAAATTATCATTTGTTTAAAATTGAAATGTAGAATTGGGATTGGAGAACTTTGCTTTATTCACAGTCGAAGAGAAAATAAAGGAAAGTGGTTTATGTGTCCCATCAGCCGCAGTGTCATTACCAATACTATATGGCTTTATTTCTTGTATATATATCTTTTAAGGGAAATATTACTCTTCTACTTTTAAATTTTACTCTCAACTAGAAATGATGTCTCTGATGGGTATCCTTGATCCCGCTCCGACAGAAATGGGGATGAGGATGGAGAAAATTTTTGGAGAACTTCACTAGTTGTTGATGTACTTTCAATGCATAGTATGATAGATTATCCTTTAATTTGTGAGAAAATTTTCACTATTCAAAAGTGTACTATGTGAAACTCACCTTGTAATCCAAACTGACACATAGTTGATTAGCTCGACTATGGTTACCTCCATGTATGAAAGACTAACTATAATTTTTTAAAACCAAATTGATCTAGAATTGGCATTACAAACAATTGAAAAATGACAACTATGTACTACTATATATATAAAAAAACATTTTTCCAATACCAAAAGTACTTGAAAAAATTGTTTTGAATTGCAAATATAATCTTGTTTTCCAATCAGTTTTCACATATAGTAGAAGCTAGGCTAGAAGTTGAGATATTCTGCTTCCATTAGTACATCATACCAGAAAGCATTCACATCATCATCATGTGTGTCGGACGAGAATGCTGGTGCAGTTCCATTATTACCCCCAGAAGGAGCATCATTATTCTCAACCCTACTACTGCAGCTTCGGCTGCTCTCCAATATAACAACTGATGATGAGTTACAGTGGTCAGCAATAATAATCTTAGCATCATCCGAGGTAGTGTTGTCGTCTTTGCTTCTGCGATCAGCCGCCGCCGCCGCATGTTTGGGTTGCCGCCGGAGGTGCTTCTTCAGGTGGGTGTGGAAGAAGTTCTTGATTTCGTTGTCACTTCTCCCCGGAAGCTGTGCCGCCATTGCCGACCACCTTAATTAATTCAACAGTTGAAGTAGTTTTTTATAATCTTCAAAAAGAAAGAAAACCCAACCGTACCCTTTTTGTTTTTAATTAACATGATTATGATTATTGTTATTTTGTTCTTGATTACCTACCTGTTTCCCATTGACTCATACATTTTGATGATAATCTCCACTTCTTCCCTGCTAAAAGGCCCTCTCTTAACATCAGGCCTCAGATAATTCACCCACCGCAGCCTGCAACTCTTTCCTGTTCTTGAAAGCCCTGCACCCAATACATGCATCATCATACACAACAAGCTTTATATTTTAACTTATATAATCAACCAATTAACCGGTGACCAGATAGACGGCTAGCTAATACAACTGTAAGCTAACATCAAAGAATATAATTGACTTTGCAGGCACGTGTGTAGTAGTCATGTTAAAGAGTTCTGGATAGTAGCACCCACAACCTAGTACCTAGTAATGAATAAGCTGAGCAGACAACTGTAAGGTCGAAGAATCAACTCTGGTACGTCAACAACAAAACTTCCCCAAGTAATTATAAGAGTTGAATGGTGTTTATATATATATATATACCTGCAAATTTGGGCATTTGGGTCCAGTTCCAGATGCCATGATTGCGGATATAGGAGATAAGCTTTCTGTCTTCTTCAGGGGACCAAGCTCCCCTTTTCACTTCCGCCATGGTTACTTGTTCCTGCACCACCTTAATTGCTGTCGTTTCAAATCCTCATCACTTCAAAATCTCTACTCACCTCATGCAATGTATATTGCCAGGACTTCCTCGATATAATTAAGGAATTGAAGTTGTTGGAATTATTAATTAAACTGTACTGGACCATCATGAAATGAGAACAACATGCAAGAATGTTTCCATGAATTTCTTCGAAGGGACGTCCCTCTCACTTGTGTGTGATTTGATTAATTAATATAATGATGGTCAAAGTTGCATGCTTCCTTTCCTGAGAAAAGAACATCATATCATACATACTTTTGTATACAAAAATCATTAAACTAAAAATAATAATTCTAAAACGCACGGCCAACTATATTTGTTTTGTTCCTCATCAAAGTGCTTTTGGAGCATATAAGGCTACGAGTTTGATTCTTGCTAATACTCTCTTGATTCATCCATCACACATGATCAGCTTCTTAGTTTGATTTTCCTCTCCCCGTCATGTGATTTGTCAATTATTACACGGAAATGATCAAGATTTACCTAATTTACACTCTTAGGGTTTAAATCGTCACCCAACAAAAAGTATGATTTTGTCATGAGGATATTTATTAATCTAATGTCATATTAATTTAATTACTTAGTGGATATTGGTTAGGAATATAATACAGTGTCAAACTTTTGAATTGAAGTTTGAGAGGTTTGACAGGCTCAGGAATTGGGTTTCTAACAACTTAAATTTGTCTTCTTCTCTCAATTGGAAATAAAGTATATGCATGATTGAGCTGAGGTTCTTTGTAAAAAATTTTAAAATTCTATTTTCATATTCTAAATTTATCTCTAATACTGGTGTGCCAATAAATTTTTTTATATTCAATATATTAATTGTCTAGTCTATGATCAAATTGATCGATACCACCATAAAACATATAACAAAGAATTCACTTCGGGCATCTTCAATTTTAAAAAACTTCTTCGCCCAAGAAAAATGATAACGTGAAGAGATAGACAATGTGTGAAGTCAATAGATGTTCCACACCTTGTTCCTAAAAAGAAATTGTTTTGAAAAGTGAAACATGTTATGCCCTAGTGGGTTGTAGGAATGCTATACCTGCACCCGCGCTCGCTACTTTCCTGACTAATCTATTTTTTTTTTTCATTTTTTTTTAGTTTGTTGATAATATAGATGAAGAAAACTGCTTGTAACATTTGGGGGTGTCCTTAATAATTTACCAAAGCATCCCCTCTCTCTTTCATTACGAAGGAAAAACAAATTACAAAAATCATGACATCTCTAGACCGATACGATCATTTATCAGAAATAGTCCAACACCCTCTGAATATGTATTTAATACATATATATACCCATTTGAATGTGATCATAATCTTAGTAATTGACCAAGAATTCCTTTTAAATATTTACTAATGTATGCATGTTTTGATTTTTTAGGCCATAGATTGGAAAAAAATGAGTATGAAGGGAATATATAGTATAGTCCACTGCACCCACCAGCTACCAATGGCATCATTACCTCATTCCACTTTAGATTTTGCAGATCTTTGTCCAAATTTAAAAGGAGATCATGAAGTGATTAATTATTTCCAACAACCTTTGAGAAGTCAAAACAAAACAAAACAAAACAAAACAAAAATTTCATTCTTTTTTACAATGGAAAGTGATCTTTTCCTTTGGAAAACCTGCACTACTATTCGAGGTGTGTAATAGATCGCAAATGTGCAAACTATACCAGAAAGGTAGTGTCAGAAAGGTAAACTGCACTAGGAAGACCATGTGTGATGGACTCAAGCAAGAAGCTGTTAGCGAGAATCAAATTTGTGACCTTCTAGTATGAGAATTATACTCCACTCGCTTGGCCATCCTCTTGGGACAAGTGAATTGAATTATATTTTAGAATTAATTCTATTTCTTGTTTTAGATTTATAAGTGACAATCCACTTTTAATCATTTTTTTCCCTGAACACCCCCCTTTAATTTAGTCCTACTATTATTGTGACATGATCATTTTTTGTCCTCGGTCAGCAAAATCGTTGAAATTTCGTAAACTACAAGAATAATAGTAATAATTTTTCAAACGATAGTCAATCTAATGTCACGGGGTTGGTTTTTATATTGCGTGACTCCGAAAGACATTTCATTGCAGCTCTAGAAAAGAACTTGAAAGGCTTCTATCATGAACTGGCCGAAGCAATGAGTGTCCGGGAGACACTTAAATGGCTCAAGAGTTTTGGGGTGGAAGAAGCGCAGATTGAATCAAATCCATTTTTGGTTATTGAAGGAACTATATAGAAATATTGACTGTTGCACTTTGTTTAATCTTATTATGGAAGATGTTAATGATTTTGCAATATTAGCTTTGTTTTTGCTAAACAGTCCGCGAATAGAGCTATCTATTTACTACTTGCTACAGGAAAGCTTTATTCATAGCTGATCGTAAGAAATTGCGATCTTCCCCTCCTTCCTTTCTTTCAAATGTACTTTGTTCTGATATAATTAAATTAATGAATTTTTCATTGTCAAAAAAAATATTTTACCTTTTTTTTTATATTTTTTTTTAATCAAATTTTCATAACTATTATAATGTTGTCCAATTCCAAACAACATCAATTCTTCCTATTTTGGTCAAAAACCCGAGGTAAGAGACAAGATGGAGCTGAGTGGTGAGTAGTAGTTATGACGACAGAGTAACAGCTCACGCTGAGGTAAGCCCACAAAACGACAAGAGTTGTTACATATATTTTATCAAACAAAATTCTGTAAAGGTCCCATATATATCCAAAAGTCAAGTCAAGCTATCCTTCGAAGAATATAAGATGCCCACAAAATATATAATAATATATCTATTTTATTTTATAATCTAAGATTATTAAACTATATTCTGAATCACATAAACTCGTCTCATGCACATAAGAAAATAAATTGAATCAATATAGTTTCGAGGCTCAACACCAAATTATACACTTATGTGCATAAGTAGAAACTCAACCCGAACTCAAACATCTGATGCTATCAAATCTCCACCCTACATATCGTTGCAAGCTAAGGAAATTTTAAGTGAAGCTTTTCATTTATTAGATCAATGCATTGGAGGCATTTTATTTTATTTTTTGTTTTTTTTGTTTTTTGTTTTTTTTCATGTCAAGTAGAATTTCAAGGGTTTTTAGATAGTTGTATTTACGGGACTCGAATTTAGAATTACTGATTAATTGAGTAAAAGAAACACACACTATCTCAATATATCTATATGTAATTAATATGACAAAATTAAAAAAATAAGACTAAATGTGATAATATAACAGTCGATGACTAAAGTAGAATTTGCTGTATATAATTATACTTCATTTTTAATTACCATAGCATTTCACATGGAAAAATGGGTGCCAGGTACGAATGTACGATAGATGTTAGTTTCTCATCTCTTTCTTCCTTTTCCTTTGTTTGGGGAGTGAGTCATAATGGTGGACACGAGGTATGACCAGATTTTGCACTACTTTAAATAATTAATTATCAACTTTAATTAATTATTAAACAGACAATACAGCTACAGCTTTCACATAGTTAAGGGTCAAAATTTTATGCCTGAAATGGTATGTAGCTCAATTAATTGTTTCTAGCTAGGCGGCAAATTATAAATAAAGAGTAATATCGAGCCTATATAATTACTTTTTTTGTGGAGATAATGATTCTTTTTTGTGAACATTAAACACTAATTCTTTTACCTAATTAGTTACCGTGATTTATTCTTTATAATCTTATCCGATCCGGTTAAGATATACCAAACTTGATCTTTAAACGAGAAATTTCAATTTTTTGGCCAGTGTCAAATTTTATTGCTCCTAGATAGGATTCTGGTCGATCTTTAATAATGTGAAAGAGACAAAGATGTAGAATGTTTGGATATGAATTGAAGAAAGAGCCTCCCAAGTTCTAGGTTGTGGTCAGAGGTAGACATGCAAAGAATGACCATTTTCCTCGATCTCTAATATTGAATAATAATCGAATTATAATAATTATATTAACTAGAGTTCTGACACAAAATGACAGAAAATCTTAGGGTTTTACTAGTAAAAGTACGTAATGCTAATAGTTTTATACATTTTAATTTACGAAAAAACTCATAGCGAAATCCATAAAAAATTATAAGAAAATTTTCATGAGAAATTAAATTTGAAATTTGTGATTATAAAAATCGATATATAAATGTAAGTAGCAAAGTATAATCCCTAATCATTTTGTAATCCCTAATTATTTTGTATACTAAAACATATACTATATATATACATACACGTACTAATACACATATATATAATGGAGTGGGATGAGGGAGGAGGAGCAATTGTCCCCTTGTCCCCTTCTGGATCTGCCCCACGAGGTTGTCACCCATAGTACACACTATTGAAAATCATAGATTTTTCATCTACCCAAAAATAATGAAAATTTTTCTTTTTTCTTTTTGGCTTGATAATGGAAATAAATAAAAGAATATTATTCTAAGGGAAAATGGCACTTTTTCCCCCTAAGTTATATATTTATAGCACTCTTTCCCCCTCAATTATTTAAGTGGCTCTTTTTTCCCCTGAAATGTTAAATGGACATATTTACCCTTAAAATAAATATTTCATTTATTTTTATTCTCCAACAAATTATTACTATAATTTGGTTCAAACCAAACAGATACTATAGCAACCAAACCAAAATATTCCAATTACAATTTATAATCAAAACGCGATATTTAGAGTTTATTAAAATCGCGAACCGGAATGACCGGTTCATATTCCGAACTGAAAAAATAAAATACATTTATTGTTGAATTTAGACTATTTTAAAATAAAAAAATAAAATTTTAAAATAAAGACGGTTCAAAATCGCGACTGGATCCGGAACTGCCGGTTCACGGTTCATGATCCAGTTTTTTTTTTTTTTTTTTTTTTTTTAATTCTTAAATTTAATAAATTGAAATCAAAATATTGGGTTCTAGATCTGAATCATAACTGAAAATTTTTAATTCCATTGCTATAGTGTCTGGTTCAGTTCGAACCGAACCGTGGTAATCGCTACATATACGCAATAATTTGTTAGAGAAGTAAAATAAATAAAATGCTTACTTTAAGGGTAGAAATGTCAATTTAATATATTTGGGGAAAAAACCACCACTTTTAAAATAATTGAGGGGGTTAATGTGCTTACATAAATAATTGAGGGGGAAAAAGTGCTATAAGTATATAACTTAGGGGGAAAAAGTGCCATTTTCCCTTATTCTAATTAATTTTGGATAAAGAAGTACCAACATACGCACTTGGACACAGACTCAAACCCTAGAAGAGACTCATGTTCATCTCATTATTACAATTGACTTGGGCTCTAGTTTGGTAATGTTATCAAATTAAGCTAGTAGCTTAATATAAGAGCTTATTTTGAAATCCTTTTGATTGGCCTATTCTCTTCTTCTATATTTTTATTCATCCTCTTCCGCAACTCTTAACTGTCCAACAACTCCTTAAAGTTTCAACTCCAATCGTCCGTTCATAAGTCCATCAACGAAAATTTAAGTGAGACTTCTATTGAGATGAATTGAAGGAGATTCGCAACAATATTACTACTTCATTATGAGATGCTAGATCATGATTATGCTAATAGTTTCATTTCAAAATGTTAAATTTTAATGTGTAAACAAACCTATTTAAATTTTATGAAGATGTCCTTTTTAATCTTTTTTACCTTTAATATTACCGAACACTTTTTAAGCATAATCCGCTAGTTTAACAATTCTTCAATTTTTAACTTCTAACTTATAGTTTTTCAGATTTCACCTACTTTTCAAGTTTCAATTACATTTTCATCTAGGTTTACCAGGAGTATATTTCAAAATCATTAAAAAAAAAACTCAGTATACGAGTGACAGAACTAATGAATTGAACTCCGTGCATGCATATATTCAATAATACTCAAAACCACAGAATACAAATCGAGTTTGTACGATGAAAAATCACACAACAATTTATAACCAGATAGAGACGACGAATTGAAACCCATCCACTCCGATCATAAACCCATAACCCCATCATACATCCTAATTATATTCCTTAAATTAACCCTTTAATACTATATTAAAGACGTTCTGCTTCTGCTAACATGTCGTACCAGAAAGCCGTGTCATCAACATCGGAGGATGATGAAAAGTTCATCTTCATATCCACTGTAACCGCCGCCGGCGCCGCCGTGTAGGGAAGCTGATGCAAACCAGCTTCCCCAGAAAGTGGCGGCGCAAATGAATTCGGACTGCTCTCCAATATAACAACCTGCGGCGAACTATTATAATCCTGCGGTGTTTCGGAGAAATTAATGTTGTTGTTGTTGTTGTTAACGTCGACGACGGAAACCTGGTAAATCTCGCTGTTCCAAGAATCTGGAGACTCAGGCGGCGGCGGCGGCGGGGCGGCGGCAGAAACAGTGTTGTTAATAAGATTAGTGGCCACTGTTTGTGATATTAGTCGCTTTGCTCTGATTGAGGGTTTGGGCCGTGACGGTGCGCCGGCGCCGGCGCCGGCGGTGGCATTGTTCATCTTCAACAGCTTCTTTAAGTGTGTGTGGAAGAAGTTCTTGATGTCGTTGTCTGTTCTTCCTGGAAGCTGTGCGGCTATGGCCGACCATCTAGAATACATGAAATTAATGTAGTCATCAAATATGTGCCATGCATATTAATAAATAATTAAGTAAATTAATTAACCACACACTCCATATATATAAATAACAAAAAAAGGTTAGTATAACAACCCATAATGGTAAGATATAGTACACAAAACACTTTTTTTAGGTGATAAAATTGTACACATAACTATAACCTGCATTAGAAAGACTTTGTGCAATGAATTGAACTTATCCCAGAAGGTGTTACATTGATTGGACAATTGACTTGATAATTAGAAAGTTTAATGTTTGACATCCTGTGGAGTTGTCTATTAACTTCGTTCTTAAGTAGCGATTGTGAAATTTTTTCGTAAATCAAAGATGATGTAACATGCAACAATGGTGATACAAAGCATGCTAGCTAGCTAAGATAAACTATATATATGTGTGTGTGTGTGTGTATAGGGTTCACGTGTGGTTGTGCGGTTGTTTAGGTGCGTGATTTGTGTGCTTAAGGTTTGAAACTTAAGGTGCGTCGACGTAAAGCTTTAGGTGCGTTGTTTTCCTTCTTAAGGTGCCTAATTTTATGCTTAAGGTGCGCGAATTTAAAACTTTAGGTGCGTAATTTGTGTTCTTAAGGTGCTTTGTTTGTGTGCTTAAGGTGCGTGATTTGTGTACTTAAGGTACGTTATTTTAATGTTTAAGGTGCATCTTTTTTAGTTAACCGCACTTGAAGCTATACCTGCACTTGAACCCCTTATATATATATATATATATATATATATATATATATATATATATATATATATATATATATATAAAAGACAATATAGTAATTTGGATATGTAGATGAGAAGACCTATCCTAGTAGCCATGCCAGATGATCCATTGTTGATGACAATGAATTAACTTGCACTCGTCAACATATATAAAAGGAATCTGAATCGAAATGAGGTGTTAGTCGATTTGATTGTAATTGAAACCTAATAATATCAAGAAGCATGATTTGCAATTGTGTTAAAAATGGTTGAAAAATCTTGTTTTCGATTCAAAACTCTTGATTTTCAACTATTTTAGCAATTTGTATCCATACTAGCTAAGAACTAACAGCAAATCTTACTTGTTTCCAAGAGATTGATAAAGGTGGATGAGAATTGAAACTTCTTCCATGTCAAAAGGTCCCCTCCTCACATCAGGCCTCAAGTAGTTCACCCATCTAAGCCTGCAACTCTTCCCCGTCCTTTCAAGTCCTACATAAATGCATATATACATACACTCAATAATTCAATCGAGTAATACAATACATGGATTTTTTAGATCCCGATATATAGTATCAGGTATTATCAACACTCACTACTGTTAATTATTACCAAAACTGGTTCAAATTATACCTCATATAACTAAACATGCAATATACATACATAGTTGTATTTCATACTAACTGGATATGCCAAACATCTCTATGGATGAAAGCAAGAACATGGATCAATCCAAGAAATGAAACCTAGAATCCAAGAACATAACTTATAACATATTATGTTCTCATCAGACAAGATGGGAACATGTTTCTTAATCTCTTCGAACTTATTCTTGTTTATATATATATATAGTACCTGCATATCTGGGCATCTGTCTCCAGTTCCAAATGCCATATCTCATTATGTAGGACACCAGTTTTCGGTCTTCTTCAGGAGACCATGGCCCCTTTTTCAGAGATGTGGCAGGTTCCATATATATACAGTCAACTACTGAGCTGCCCAGATTTGATGACTCAAGAGTGGGAAGATCAGAGATAATGGCTGGAGCAATGCTTTCTGATCTCTGACCAAACTGGATTTATAGTTGTCTGGTTTTGAAAGACACAAAAACCAGTTTCCCAGAAGCTGCTGCCCTAACAACTTTGTCACAATGTCTTTACTGCCCCTGCTAATTGATTAGCTACTGCGTTGACATATTTATCCAACTTATCTTTAACTATACTTTTTTACTCTGGTTTCCGAGCTGAGTGAGATAGCAACCGTCTCTTAACTAGAAGTCATGGACATTTTTGTATTTTTTTAGATTTTATTACTTGGTACAAACATGATTAGTTATTACCGTGTGCCGAGTGTAGGGTTATAGTGTACCTTGACTAGGGAAACATGTGTTGAAAAAAAAAAAAAAAAAACTACACTTTCTTGGGTTAGTCTTTAATTATTCACTAAGGCAGCGATGATTTGAGAATTTCACTTGACTGAGGTAAACTCTCTTCTTATGTAATAGTTTGCAATGCAAATTACACATAAAAAGTAAATTATATTAAGAACGTTTATTCTGTGCGACAGTCTAGTTGACCAACATGATTTTTGTAATAATCAAACTTGTGATTTTTATGTATACGAATCAGACTTCACTCACAAGTTAATTTACTTTCATTTTTTGAATAAATAAAAGTAAATAAATATTTGCCTATTGTTTTTTTAAACATCTTTTTTAGTTGGATTTGGGTGCCCAACCCTTAGAGAAGCAGTAGAGAAGTAGCAGAGAAGCATCAGTAATCAGAAATTATCATTAGAACCCTATTTCTAACGGTCAACTAACATAAATTTTAATAAAGTACTAAATTGTGTAAAATCATCAAAGTCGAGAACTAAATTGAGCATAAAAAGTTATTTAGGATTAAATTGAGTAAAATCACGGAGGACTATATTAGTTATTAAGTCTTTATTTAACTATTCCAAACTATTTTAGGAACTAAAGTGTAATAATTAAGCATCGGTGCAAGTTACATGCACTCATAATTTTTTGTTGACGACTATGCATAAATGCAATTTTTATTTTATTTTATTTTTGTAAGTACTTCGTTTGGCAAACTCATTGTGAGTATAGTCATGAGTCAATATTTTGTTGTCATCGAAATGTGATGTTGACTGCTATGTAAATATAAAGAAATAAAGTTTCACTTTTGTTATAATTATAGCTTTTGTGATATTAATAAGTACTTGATTTGACAATTAGTATAAGAGCAGAGCATGCTATGCATTTGAAGCTAATAGGTGCAGCGGTGCAGGGCATGTGCTAGGAGAGGATTGTTTGGCTTGCAATTATTATACGGAAATGAGATTTACCTGATTTACACTTTTAAGGTTTAATTTCCTCATCACCCCAAAAAAAGTATGATTTTGTCATGAGGACATTTATTAATTTAATGTTATATTAATTTAATTACTTAGTGCATGCACGGATATTGGTTAGGAATATAATACAGTGTCAAACTTTTGAATTGAAGCTTGAGAGGTTTGAAAAGCTTAGGAATTGGGTTTCTAACAACTTAAATTTGTCTTCTCTCAATTGGAAATAAAGTATATGCATGCACGATCGAGGTATTATTATGTAAAAAAAAAAATTAACATTCTATTTTCATCTTCTAATTTTACCTCTAATACTGGTGTGCCAATAATTATTATTATTTTTTAATATTCAATATATTAATTGTCTATGATCAAATTGATCGACACACACACACACATATATATATATATATAGGAAGCCGTTCTTGTGAGAACGAGTTGTCCAGGAGAGAACTAAGAACCACTCACAGCTGTTCACGTGGATCAGAGATACTGATTAAAAAAAAATATAGTGGCATTTTCATAAATAATTGAACATCGAAGTACAAGTAAATTGTGTTAAAAGTGCAAGTAACAGTTTCATATAATGCACCTAAGTGCAAGTAAAATGTATTACAAGTGTAACAAATAATGTACACTGAGCATCAATATTAAGTGCACCTATGTGAATGACTTTATCATTAGGTGCACGAATGTTAACAAGGTAAATTAGTTGCACTTGTAAGTGATTTTACTTGCACCAGTTACTTGCACTTGTAACACATTTTACTTGCACCAAAGTTCGAGTTATTTACAAAAATATCACCGCATCGTTTTTTTAAATTACATTTGATTCGTTAAATTTGAACACATAGACGGCTGCGTTAGGTTCTTAGTACTCTCCTAGGGTCCCGTTCTTACCTGAGCGCGCCACTATATATATATATATATATATATATATATATATATATATATATAGCCGCACACACGCACATACACAAAAATAGGCGGTCCAATGGAGTATGATGGGTAAAATCTTTAAATTGTATATTGAAATTTATAATGGTGTTCGGCGGATGTTTGGATGGATGTATGTAAACATCCTACTGCCACCGAAATGTGATGTTGACTGCTATGCAAATATAAAGAAATAAAGTTGTCCTTTTACTATAGACTATAAATTTTAAAGTATTAATTAGTATTTGATTTGACAATTGGTATCAGAGTAGAGCATGCTATGCATTTGAGGCTAACTAATAGGTACGTGGCATGTGCTAGGAGAGCATTGTTTGACAAAGCTCGCCATCAAAATGTGACTCTGACTACTGCTATGCAATTGAGACATAAAGTTACACATTCGTTACTAATAATAACTTTTGACATAATAATAAATGCTTGATATGACAAACCTACCATTCATATCAAAATAAACTAGCAAAACTTGTACAATGACCTTGCTAAATTTATAAAAATCACAACTAAATAGGAGTGGTAAGTTATATATATTTATATGTTTTATTAATTAAAAGTAAATCTTCTTCTAAGAAAAAGGTTAGTGTTATCCTTTCAAGATGATGTTGAAGGGATACAACTTGATCATACGAATTCGTGAACATCAAGAAAGGATCTTATATAGTTATATATAACTTAGAATTGTCAAAAGAATATTTAAAAATGTATATAAAGGTCACATCAATGTTGTATTATTTTGACAAATGTTTAAACTCGTCTTTAGGGTTATAGTTTTTTATTAGTATATTCGTTTGGTATGTGTCTATACACACATTATTTAATTTCATACAGTGAGATTAGCTAGAAATGAAAATAAATATGAGTTTTGAGCCGCTTAAGCATGAAGTTTGAAACTTTGAATCTTATGTGTACACAACAATATTTATCTATTTTGAGTAAAATTAAAGTCACATAATGTAAAATTTCATTATCTGTTATATAAAAAAAAAAAAAAAGAAAAAAAAAGTCACATAATGTAAGATGTGTAGATACTAATATAGTATGTGTTACGGGAATTATTACTATGCTTAACACCCAGCTCAACAAGCTGATTTAGAAGCTCGACAAGGTCATTTATAGTGCAACATCTAAGGCAAAACAAAGTTGGCAACTGACTTGGTAGCTCGGCCACATACGCCCAAGAGTGCTTAACGACTAGAATGTTGTCAGAGTTAATTACACCTAGTGAATAAGCACTAGTGCGTGTCAAAAGGAATTGTGGCATGTACAAGCATAAACGACACGTGTAATGAGGTGTTTAGTACATGATAGTCCTAAAATAACTAGTACAATTATTATCTTTGTAATAAGATAAAAGGAACAACAACTTCAATACAATTTTTCACTATAAGCTTTGTGGACCTAAGTTACTCATTAAAACCTTTTTCTCTCTCATTGTTACCGTACGTTCCACTACTTCTCATCATTGAATATAAGCTTAAATCTAGACCTATGGTTTGATGTTAAGGCCATAGTGTATATATTTACGCTTTAAAAAAAGTAGATAATATTAGATAAGACTTATGATATTGGGTCAAAAGACGATTTAAGACCATCTCCAACTTAAAACACCAAATTCTGTTCTGAAAGCAATATTCTCAATATATTCTTACACTAAATTTTATTATTACACTAAAATAATTTATATTCTCATAAATTCAAAATTAGATTAATACTTTTATTATTTTAATATAACATATAGTTGCATTTTAATGTAATTTAATAAATTAAAACTTTAATTATGTTTTATGCAATTTAATTTTTAATTAATCTATATTTAATATTAGATTATATGTTAAAATATTTAACAAAATATGTAAATATATATATATTTTAAAAAAAAAAGGATGCAAAGGAAATTATTAAAAAAGACCAAGAACAAAATTGAGAAAAAAAAATTTCAAAAGTTTTGCCGTACATGAACAGTACTGCGCCAAATACTGTTCATCCACCCCGCAAAACTTTTGCCATTTTGATGTGTTGATTGGAGAGCAATTGCGCCATTTCTTTTGCCAATATGCCATTTTACCGTGTTGGTTGGAGATGGTCTAATCTCCATAACCATTAGACTCTATTAATATATATTTAACATACCCAATCAAAATGCATGGATGTTCTAATATAATTACTTCAAGTAAATGAAAATGGGTTGTCTTGAATCTTTTTCTTCCCTAACCACCCAAAAAAAACAATAGAAAAATTATCCATTGATGTTGATTGGTCGTTCTCCCACCAATGACCTCTCATGAGTAATGGCAAACAATATTTATAGTGATGATTCATTCTTTTAGTGTTAATTAAATAAAATAAATTCCAAACATAGAATATAATATTGTATGTATGTATATATATATATATATATATATATATATATATATATATATATATATACTAACTTGTGTATTCATAACACAAATAATATCTCGTTCAGTATAATAACTCACAAATCATATATAAAAAATAAATTGTTTTAAAAAAACTTTAATTTGCACAATGAATAACAGGAATTAAACTTGTAATCTTCTCGTACGAAAATTATGCTCATTAATTAGTGATTGAATTCGAAATTATTTGAGATGAAGAGTGGAGTGACGTCAGCTTGGTGGTTTCATGCTGAAATCAACTTTCCAG